TTAGCTAATATAAAAGTTGTTGTTTTTAACTAATAATAATAATAATAATAAATAATTTAATGTTTTTTAGGTAAGTAACGCATTAACATTAGTTTAGCCAATTGTTTCCATATTTTAAGAAGTGCTGCCACAGCTCCACACTGCAGATCTCTGCAACAGAGGCTTTATAAGACAAATTTCAGGGAATTTCAACTGCTGCATTGAAACATCATTATAAGCTGATTACTGTCACCGCAAACTGAGCCTCATTTTAAATGGAAGGTTAAAGTGTTGTAAGGTTTAACAAGAAGAACATCTCTAACCAATCACACTATTTTTGAATAATTTAGATTTTGGGAATGTAGACAAAAAGTGTATATGTATGTATGTACGTATGTATGTGTATGTATGTATGTACCTATGTGATAGTTTACTAACACATAGCAGCCACAAAGGCACATTTAAAAACAAGTAAAACCTGGACATAATTCTATTTGATGCATTTCCAAGACAAATAAGTGGCGGGGTGTTTACAAGGATTCAGATTTTTATAGAGTTGAATGCAGTTTCAAAATGGAGATGATGTCATTTCTCTACAGACTTGCATTGCTAATAGCTGCCAACAGGAGGCTACTGCCAATTTCTCAAAATCGCGTATAAATGTCCTTAGAGAGAGTGTGGTTGGAGATGAAAGGCTTCTGAAAATCCTAACTGGACAGAAAAAGCAGAGAAAATACTGTCGATTGTAAATGCTAATGCTACTAGTCTGCATGAGAGACAAAGCATTTTTGAAGTTTTTGTTGTTTAGGAAAAGAACAATATATATGATAAGCAAATGAGAGTGAGATGAGAATTACTGTTCTAAGTAGAAAAGGCAGAAGTAGCGTGACATTGTTATACTGTGCAATCACAAAACATCTTATGGAGGAGGTTGGGGCCATAAGAGACCAGTTTACACCCTATTTTTACCAGTTACAGTTTCCTATATGAATGCAAGTGATCTTTCCCTAACTGAAACACACGTAACACTCATGAATTACTTTTAGAACTTTAGAATTTGTTCATTTTGGATCATTTTCAAGCAACCAATTTTGTCTTGAGGACTTGCTGAACATATTTGATAAAATAGGGAAGAATAATGTAAAAAGAAGAATAAAAGAAAAGCATTTATTGTTTAAGTAGCTTGTCAGCTTGCTAAAAAAACAGTACGTGCAACACATTTCTTACAACAGTAGAGAGAAAAGAAAAGAAGACTGAGGGACAGGACCAGTCAGAAAAAGAGAAACTGAAGGAGTCAGGTATTGCCTGTGGCCACAATAGCACTCCATCATTTCCTCATCTTTCTTTCTGGTATTCCCTCTCTCTGATGCTCTCTCTCTCTGTGTCCCTCTCTCCCTCTTCTCATCCATCTCCTCCCAGCTCTCACTGACAGTCTATTTGGCCCACACAGCCCTGTCATCCATTCAACCTGTCAGTCCTGGCAATGGCACCAATCTCACACTGACTAGTGTTTGTAGCCGGGCAGGCACGACCCGCGGTTAGAGTGTCCATGCCGTCGCTGAAAGCCGGGGATTCAACTCCCATGACAGCCGGGTCAGAGAGTCGACCCCACAGTCAGAAGGTCAGAGTGTTCATCCCCTGTTACAAGGCTTTTACGCTATCTGCACTTACTTTACTGTATTTAAAGGTGCAGTGTGTAACATTTAGGAGGATCTATTGGCAGAAATGGAATATGATATTCACAGGTATGTTTTTCATTCGTGTATAGTCACCTGAAAAGAGTAATCTTTGTGTTTTCGTTACCTTACGTTTTTATCTACAGAGGCTGTGGGTCACTTTCCATGGCAACCGGCATGTATCTACAGTAACCCAAAAAGAAAATTACACACTGGTCCTTTAGGAATTTAGTGGCATCAAGCGATGTAGGTGCAGATTGCAACTCCCTTGCTTCACCCTGCCGCACCATACCCAAAGGATAAAACACAGTGGCAGCGAAACAGGCCAGTGTTTAATTTGTCCATTCTGGGCTACTATATAAATACGCTGTTTCAACATAGCAGACTCCATGGAAGGTGCCCGTCGGCATCTGTAGACAAAAAGGTCTCATTCTTAGATAACAAAAACACAACTATACTTATTTTTAGGTGATTATATTTGAATGAAAACAAAGTTATGCATATTAAATTCCATTTCCTCCTTCAAATTGCTGGATCTGGATCTTTTCTTTATAGTTTTAGTTATCATTACTATCAGTGTTAACATTTTACTCCATTTTAGCTCAAAGAGATGTAGACAGGCATTGGATGAGGCAACCAAATGAACCATCAGTCCAAGTTTAAAACGGTTGCCAAATAAACCAACTTATTTAAAAGTGAAAAATATAACTCTTTTAAAACTGTATGTCTATTTCTTTTGCCAGTTACATCAATGCTAACATATGTACAATTAAGGTCAAAGTTGAACTGAGAGGTGGCTCTGCAAAATACAACAGATGTTTTCAACAAAAATATTCAATAATAATTTTAAACTTCTTTTTTATGTCGTTTTATCACACGTGTAATTTTGTTCCTGCAAAGGACATGACTGTTGCTTCATCCTCCTTAAATTATTTGCATGCAAACAAAATGATTCCCAAACCTACAAGAGGCATTCCTTACATTACACTATTTACACTGACAAATAAAAAAACTGCATTATATACACTAAACATTTCAAAGTCATACGCTATTCACAGTCTTAGCCTATTGAATTTGTTAACATTTAAAGAATCAAACATGCTGCATAAATCTGTAAGTGTCAGACTAAAGTCAAAGGGCTTTTTGTAGCGTTGACCTTCATAGCTGAGTGCAGATAGAAAGCCACTTAGATAACCCATGGAAGGGCTTTGATATCCTCTGGGGAACCCGGCTTTAAGACTGCATGCAGCCCTGTAACTGTGAGGCTCAGATCAAACTGTCAACAACTGTCAGTGAACAAGTCACACATATTAAAACTGGAAATATGGCTTTTAACACAAGGACGCAGATGACCACACTTTTTCTGCATCAAGGGAATTTCATATCATGTCTTTCATGGGTTGTTATGCATTTTATTTCTGCTATCTAGCTTCTGTTATTCAGTTCATGTGCTCTGTTTTTATCTTGACCCATATGCTTCCATTATGTCATCTGCACCTGTTTGGATTTCCTCTCTTTTATAGGTCTAAATAACTTTTATATAACTCTAACACTTTAGTGGATCACGTGCTTGCTGATCTGAGTGATGAAAACATTTGGCCTGCACTGTTACTGTTACTGTTACTGTAGGGTTGTAAGGCTTCTGTACTTCACTGTTGAAACAAGAGAGTCAAAGTGTGTGGGAGGAGAGCCTGGGAGGAAAGCTGAGTGAGAGATAGAGATGAGCCCATCCAAAAATCACTATAACACGCCTACAATAGTCCTATAGGGACCTACAGTGTGTTTGTGGTACTCCATAGTACATTTTCTGTATGTTACTTTTACTGTCCTCTTAGGGTACCACTGTGACATTTTTAGATGAAGAAGTTTTTAGTTTTTTTATTGCCTGTGCATAAACAATGTAAACTAATTTAATAACACAGGGAGACAGGAGGGAAATTAAAGCACAAACTCAATATAAATGCAAAAACATTATATTACATGCATGTCCCATGTCACATTGTCCATTAAAGATTGCTGATAGGCGAGGAATTGTGTTGATCTGATGACTGCAAAGGACTGACTCTTGAGTCCTCATGTCTGGTATGCATCTGCATTATGTTTCTACACTCATTTATTCAGGTTGCTCCAATGATGATTAAGCATTTAGATCCTTAAGTAAAAGCACAAATGTAGTAATTTAACATGTTAAAAAATAAATGGCCTAAAATATTGGTAAAAAAAAAACATTAGGGATTATTACTAATGCATAAGAACTACTTTATTTACAATTTGGTAGTTAAATCTGTAAGAGTGCATTATTATAAGCTGATTATGTTTTTTGAATCTAAAATGTAACAAGTAATAATAGTTGTCCGATACATTTAATGGAGTAAAAAGTATATTTTCCTCTCAAATGTAGTGCAGTGGATTGGAAGCAGTATAAAATGGAAACTTGAGTAAACGCATCATGCCACCACTACATAAGCTTGACCTACACTTTACAGTGTTTGATTAATCTCCTGTTAGTGCACCTATTGGAATATTACATAATATCACTGTGATACTGTAGGAGGTAAAAATACTATGAAGATAAAGTCCCTCTGGGTACCCAAGATATTAACTTTAACCATACCTCCCTATAACTCTCTATCTAGTTTTATGATGAGCAGGGAGAGAGTTTAGGTAGGGATGATGAGAGAGAGACAGGAAGCAAGAGAGAGAGAGGGAGAGAGAGAGATTAGCTCCTTACCTGGAAAAATGTAGAAATATGTGTCCACACGCAAGCAGGAATCCTTTCATTAGCCCCTTAATGTCGCTTCACATCGCTGACAACAGCAGCAACAACATCCCAGTGAGATCAGCCAGTCCGAAGGTCCTCTCTCTCTCTCTCTCTCTCTCTCTCTCTCTCTCTCTCTCTCTCTCTGGGGACTTGGCCCACCTCCTCAGAATAGCGCTTCGTTAAACTCTCAGTGATACCCGAGATTTGCCCGCACGATGATCAACGCTGAGCAGAGAAGCGCTCCGATCGTCCGAGCATCCTCCTCCTCCGAGCGGTCCCGTCCTCATAACCGAAACATCCTCATCCTCATCATCATCATCATCATCATCACTGTCACCGTCCTCCAACCCCGCAGAGCTTTATTCCCCTTCTTTCTCTACGAACGTCCCTCAGTCGATGGCATCATCATCATTAGCTCTCATCTGCTTCTTCTCTCGAGCATCCTCTTCGTCTGACTCTGTCCTCGCGGCTTCCTCGCCGTGTCTCTGTCCCCTGGCTCGTCCCGTGGCTCGGCTCTGCAGCCCAGTAAGTGTGTCATGCTTCGGAAGAAAAGTGCATCATCCAGTTCAGGCATATGTTGATGGTGAGACAGCCAGCCAGGAAATCCCTCACCAAACACAAACCGGGGTGCTCTGAGAAATGATACAACGGGTCCATATCAGAATATTACTGCTCTGTAAAAATCACATTAAAACCGTAAACTCCCCAACAAGTATTATCCCTCTTTGGTTGGAGTACAGTTTGGTCCCAAAATGCATCTACCTAAGATGTAATAACACTATATATAACTATAAGAAAGTGTAATCAAATTAAAGTGCACCCATAATTTGAGAAATTTCAATGTACTTTAAGGGCCTTAAAGTATTTGAAAGTGCACACAGGTACTTTTGGTTTCCCCAGTTTGGAAGAACTTGTCTGGTGCACAGAGCGCTGACCTCAAACACATCCAACACTTTGGGGATGAACTGGAACACGGATAGCAGAAAACTCACAGGTGTATTAATGATAGCTGCATACCACTATAAGGGGAATCCTGCTGCTGTGTTCACTGATATTTTTACTGGGACACAAAATGGAACTGAGCCATTGTTACTGTTATTAAGTCCACCTGTGTCATAATGTCTTCTGTTCAACCAGTCCATTCCCTGCAGCCACATTCCAAACTCTGCTGGAAACCAGAAGAGTGGAGGATGACATAACAGGTTTTGGAGTTCAACAATCCCATATTCAGATGAGTCCACATAATTCAGATGTATTTAAGGCACCCATTTTGAATACACATGGGTACTTTTATTTATTCAATTGTGTGTCAAAGTAGGAACTAATAAGATGAATGATGGCTGAAGTTGCTTTGGGACACTTTTAGAACAGAGACATCATTATCATTATTGGTAACACCTGTGCTTTTCCTACAACGACAGGTAATAATGTCTGCTGTGAAAAAGGTCTACTTTTACATGGAGTTAGAGCTGACATCCCAGTGAATCTCCAACCCCCCTCCCCCCAAGAGCAGACGTCTAATCAGCCAGAATTCAAAACAGGTGTACGGAGCTTTAGTCAACTGTACATATAGTTCCTTCAAGTATTGTCTGTAAACCTACTGACAAACAGCATCAAAAAATTATTGTCATGTAGCCTACTTCCATTTTTTGGTATACTGATAGTTTAATTGAGTATCTCCATTTTGGAAAACTTTATACAGTATTTTTCCTCCACTACATGAGATATACAGGAACTAAATCATGCTTCAGAATAATCATACACTGACTTCTAGACTTTATCTAAGATTTTGGGAAAGTGAAATAGAAGTTCCATAATCTCTAATGCTTCAACTGATCTTAAGCAAGTTTCATTATGTTGTATTTTCATTGGGGCTATTCTTCAAAATTTAAACTTTAACTTAATTTTACCAATAATAATATTTATTTACTTCTTCTTGGAATAAAGTGTGAGCCCAGATTATCTGAGTGCTTCTTAAATCACTGCTGTATAGCAAGCTCTGTCAAGATGCACTGAAGAACAACATCCACTGAATCAACAATACAGGTTGTCAAAATATTACATTTGAATAAGCACAGAAAAGACATTGTTTGACTTGACATCAGGGAACATTTACTATGGGCTGTCTTGGCATGGCAGATTGAACAAATAATTATTTATTTCTCTTTTACTGATTATTAAAATCAAAATTCACATTTGTAGTGCATTTTTAATTTGCCACAAAATCATCCAAAAAACCACAGTACTGGAAGGGAAATGATATAGAGTGTATTTGATGCTTTTGACCACTGTGTGGCGACAGAGCATCACTGCCTTTTATCCAGCTGTCAGTTTGGCTTTTTGAGGTTGTGTTGTTTTCTCCATTTGTTGGTTAATAAATGTTGCATTATCTAATTTCTCATGCACATAATGAGTATCAGTGATGGCAGTTCAATTAACATTTTAAAGTAAAACTCACAATAGACCTGTCAGACTCTTAGGTGTAGAGTCTCAGCAGAATGTTCACTTTTGGCCAGAAGTGATGGTTTCTTTTGTCTTCTTTTGTCCAAAAAATCAACTTTGAAAGAGCTTCCTGTCATTTCATAATAGTAGATTTACAATTGCATAAGCATGAATCAATCATCAATTTTAAAATAATTTCACATGTCAGTGTTAAATCACTCCAAGGTGTTCAGACGTAAACATACCACTGTGGAGTCTCAGCAGATCAAAGAATTGGTGCTTTGTATTCAGATGTAGCTTTTTGCCTTACTTAAATTTCATACAGTGTCAGACCAGCTCTTGTGAACTGTCCAAGATTCTTTTTACTGGATATGGATGCAACTTTATACCCTTTTACAAAGCAAAAAGGGGCAAACAAAGAGGATGAGGGAAGGGGATATCCTCCTCTTCACATTGTTGTATTTACCGTTTACAGACAGGATGTCAGTCAAACAGCTACAGTCATTGTTGAAGTCACCCTTTGTGCACTTGTTTTACTTGACATTAGAGCAGCTGATAAATCAGTCTTCAGTGTTAAAGCACGAAACTACAACATCTCCCAGCTGAATAGTTACCAGAGCATGTCTTTCTTTTCCCAAACAGATTCCAGCAAACACTCAGGGAGATGCTGGACCTCAGTGGTGTCTACATCTGCAACAGCTCCTGTCCCCGCTCCTTTCGTAGCGGCTGTTTTGAACTCAGGTTTGTTTGTCAGCGTGTCAGTGGGATGTTTGATGCAGCTCTGCTTTTGTGATGGTTGACTGCAGTGCTTTTCAAACCTGGAATGAGGACCAGGCCTCTTTCCAGTGGGCATCCATACGGGAGGGGTACTGGTATGTTTGAGTAATCCTGCTCTACCGTGACTTACACGGAGGGAACACAACCCCTAAATCTGGCATTGCCATGTTCTACCTTCTTAGCTACATGCCACAGCTTTACTAGTGCCTCTGACAAAGACAAGGGCTTCTGCTTTACAGACCAACAGAGGACATGAAACAAAAGAGACCCAAATGTAAATCATGATCCCCAGCATGAGGCCAGAACCTGTTTGTGCCACAGTGTTTAGTCTGAATGTTTGTGTTACACCACAGTGACATATTTGCACAGACAACCCAAAGAAAACAGTTTTTCTCCTTTTGCAATAACAATACACACAGAGGTTTTATTTATGAGATTTTATGGAAAGATGTGGGCAAGGAGACAAGTTCGCAGGTTTTAGAAGAAACATCAGTTTGTCTGTGACAATGGAAGACATTCCTCATGTTGAATTCAACTGAATTTAGTCTTTAAACTTTACAATCCATTTCAGAGACCTGGTTTCTTGTTTAAACTCATCGAAATGTATTCTGAGTCGTGTTACAATTCCAACGTTTCTAAAGATCCCAAATACTGCGTAATCTTAGTGAAATTAGGCAAGACAAGAAATCAAGGGTTTATGCATGTAATGTAATGGTCCATTAAACAGAAGTGTCTTAGGTTTTATATTTCACTCTCTTTGTATGACATTTCCCTACAGTGTGCAAAAAGAAAATGTTTCCCCCTTGAAGTTCCATTAAAATAGCTTTTTTTCGATGCATCATAAATTTAAGATCTCATTTTTATGGTTGCAGCATCACATTAAGTATAAAATTCAAGGTGATTTTTGCACCTTTTTTTCCTCTTTTTCCCCTTGACTCACAGAGATAATCATAGTGAGAAGACTGTTTTTGGTTGGAACATGTTTTGGTACATAACTGGCATCTTTACTGAAATACCAAAAGGAAGTACATCTGTGAGCTGAAATATTTCACAGTTAAAGGTTTATGATCAGTCACACATAGTATGCATGAAGACACATTTTGAATGATGTTACATTTCTTTATACCAACAATATTTAGGAATATAAATTGATGGTGTATAACTAATTTCAGGCATCTAAAGGGTGTTTAGATGATAGGAACATAATGGAGGACCACATGTCTGTAGTAAAATATGATGATGTCCAAATTCGATAATGAAGCAACAAAAAGAGAGTAGCAGGTTTAAATACCCCCTAAAAACCTATACATATCATGCTCCTTTGTAAAAAAAAATCATGTGATATGTGCTTGTAATTCTTTAAATGACTGTTCACAGGTACAGTAGCTATGCTACTCTCTCAGATTCATCTGTGCTGTTTTTCATGCTAACAGAAACTAATATAAATGCTCGTGACAAGACTCAGAGTATTCTCTAACTGGATTACATGCTGTAGTCATGTAAACAGCTACCCGTATCAACTCCTTTTGCATGTAAACACATACTGCAGCCCACTTCAAAATTCAGACTTTCTTTGATCAGGCTTCAAAGGATTATCCATTTGCAGTCGCCATGTAATCGTATTCAAGGATAAAGCATGTCTCAGTTTAATAGTCTGGTTTTGTAGTTTAACGCAATGTTTAGCATGTTGCCGCCAGCTGGTCCTGTCCCATCCTCGCCACAAGTAGAACAAAGTTGAGCTGAGGTTGAGGGAGGAGGGAAGAGGAGATGGAAGTATGCCTCTCCCCTCTCTTGATCACTATCTTTCTTTCCTTTCAGTCTTACTCCTTCCTGCAGACATCCGTCACATCTTCCAGCCATCCTCCTCGCCTGAATAACTGATGACAGTACGAATTTGGTCTCTGTGCAGCTCATAAGACTCAGTGAAAGCTTTTTAAACTCACCCATATTCCTGATTATCTGGTATTACAGAGTGTTAAATAGAGGTAGTATGAGAAAATATCCAGAGTTGCATGCTGGACCACATGGAAACATTAAGAGTTGCATTGTGGCCTGCCTATTTGAGAGGGGGATTCATGTGTGTTAAGTTTTGTTATGGATTATAACACCCTACTTTAGAGAGTCACCTAAATGCATAATACATATATAAATGTATTCAGCCTCAGATGTCGACAAGTAAGGTAGTTTTTTGAAAATGCTCTCATGTTGGATGAATTTAGAATTAATTTAGAATGTGCAGTCTATGCAGTGCTTGTTCTTCTCCTTTGCAGCAGCCTGGGTGGGTCATCAAAGCAGACTGCACCTAAGAGATGTGCACGGCTTTAGCTGTGTAAGGCCTGTTTGGGCATCTGAGCACTGGACTTAGGCCTTAAAACAACACTAACACACCTATACCTTTACTCTTCTAGACATGCCGTAAAGTATGGTCACATAGCATTTCAGTTCAGTGACACTGCCCAGAAGCAAGACATAATGTCACCGCTCTGATGTGGTTAATAACTGTAAACAGTGTATATTGTAGTTTATAGTCTGGTTGCGTAATATTGCACTAAAGTGGGTGATTTCCAAACACAGTAAATCAGTGTTTCTCTTGGCCAAATGAGCAAATGAATTGGTCAAAGTTGAACAAAGGGGAACTCTGAGCTGTGAGTCCGCCGGTCGCACTGAAACAGGAAACATGCTTGAATTTGTTCGTCATTCTGGCTTTAAAAGAAATTAATGCGTGAATATTCTTGGGATGGAAATGTAATGTGACCATAGCTTTAAATACTGATTCTTTTCACATTTCCACAGCTCATGTTATTTTCCTTTGTTTAACTTGGTACATTTAATTGGTATTTATAACCCTTGTGTGTGCGTAGAAGAATGTTAACAACATTAGAATGCTGGATTCTGATTGTTACACATATTGTTACATTATTACAACCTTTCACGGATATGGTTGAATTTTTCTTCCTGTCATACTTTACCAGACATCAACAAACCAACAGGCGGAATGTGAAGGACAGTGGTAGATAGAGGAAAATATTGTAAAACGTAGGGGCCCTCTGAGCTGACAATGATCCACATGGTGTACCAAATGTGGCCAGAATTTGAGAGACTGTTCTGACTATAAAAACTGAAATAGTTGTTTATTCAGTTTTGAATAACAAAAATGACTACTAACCGTCCTTTTATTTAGAAGCAAAGGTGAAAGTCAGGTGAGTAGGATGATGAATCTTTTACGGAATAGTTGTATGGTTTGTTTTGTAAGGCAGGATAAGACAAATGGGCTTTTTCAACACTTAGTCATAAGGACTTGTTGGAAATTGAGCTTCCTGACACATATATGTTTATATATGCGGTCACACATAACAACATCAGTGAACAAAGCCTGAAGGTGTCTGAACATCTGGTCCTATTTTAAAGTAATTTGTCAGCCTGATCAAAATCACAAATTCTTTTATGTTGATCTTTTCTTTCGTGTGTATGTGTGTGTGTGTGTGTGTGTGTGTGTGTGTGTGTGTGTGTGTGAGTACACAGTATGGTGCCAAGTCAAGACATCACTTTTCATCTGTCTCTCTCTCTCTCTCTCTCTCTCTCTCTCTCTCTCTCTCTCTCTCTCTCTGTCTCTGTCTGATTGTCTTTCACTCTTATTTTTACCCCTGTGGTCTTGTACGCTTGGTCATGTCTCATGTTCATGTCTCATATGGATATGATCACACACTGTGTATGGAGGTCTGACCCCCCAATCCACTGGCCCCAACCATAATAAAACAGCATGAACCAGGGCTGAATTTACACTTGGTAAAGAGCAGAACAGAGGATATCCTCCGACTCACATCTGATCACATGTCAAAGATCAAGGTGAAGGAGATCAGAGCTTTCCTCACACCGCCTCATAATCTGTAACATTTGACATGTTGTATCATTTTACACAGAGGAACAGCGCTGATCTTCACCACATGGAATCTTATGAAAACACTGACTGACTATAAAAATTGTTTGGTGTTATATCAGGTCCATATCAACACTTTATATAGTTTATATTTACTGAAAATCTGCTACACACCTGACCTATTGTTGTGTTATCATCAGCAAATTCCACCTTCTCCTTTTATGGGCATGAAGGAGGATTTTTGTCATCAAAACACACGTCATTCTTTCTCAATCAACCTTAAAATCCAAATCCTTGAAAATATGTATGTATGATAATAACTCTGACATAGATATTTTTTTATAAATTAATATCTTTTCATCTGCTCTTGTTCACTTTTTCTTTTTAGTTACCCTCTTTATCTTTATACTGGTCTCATGATATCTCATTATTTAAGTGGTTTGAGTCATAAAAACATCAAACTGATGCCAAAAATGTAGAACTTCAAAACACCAATCACAAGACAACAAAACATATTTGAGTGTTTATTTTTAATTCTACACTTACAAAAATGTCAGGTAATAAAAAGTAGTTGCTATACACCATAAAAACAATATAGAAAAACATTGTGTTTGCCATCAAAAAAATGTATTACAGTATTTTTTTTAAAGAATAAAGGCACATGTTGCTCCCTTGAAGACCCTTACTGTATTTACACAAAAAAATTTAATTCTATGTGGTTGTTTTTTTTTAAATTTGTTTGACACTCATTTGTGTGTATGTACATGGGTACAATCACAAGCACATACACACACACATTCACACACAAACAAACACAAACAGAATATCACATATTCACTCGGGCAGTCACTCATGCATCAAAGACTACTCTCTTTAATCTGTAGAAAATGAACCATTTGTTACTGTTCACAGCAATACAAAGAGATTGTGTCAAGTTTAACATCTTCTAAATACAGCAATTGAGGCAAAATATGAACAAGGTGAGGGAGAAAAGAGAGAAAAATCACTGTTAGGCACATTTTCCTATATACATTTTACTCAAAGTAACCCCTCAATAACATGTCATACAGAGATTAAATTACAGTTAAATCCTTTAAAGGTCTGGTTTGTGAAGCTAGTGTGATAATACGTATGGGGCATTTGTTTCTTGACATAAAGGTGAATGACTTTTTTTGTGCCTGGATCCCAACCTGAGAGATATATTTCCACTGTCTGGATCCAAAGTTCACCATTTAATAGAGGAGACAAATGGCACTTTTTAGGATATTAAATAACAGAATGGCATCACTGTTACATAGTGGATTTTGCAGATTCCAAAGAGAATACAGAAATCCTCACAAAGTAATGTTTTGCAATGTCCGATGAGTCACTGTGGAGAGGCAAATAAGACCATCAATGGCTAGAAATCATTAAATGAAAGTGCCAGCCTGAAATGAATTATTTTACATGTAGTGAGAACAAATTTCAGTTTCATTCCAGAACAATATGTCTAAGTTATTATGTTACCAGCACACAAAATAAAACCAAATATGACTTAAATCATATGCACCAAACGCATGCTTCAAATAAAGGGTTTAATGATTGACATATTCTGTTAAGGACTATTTTAGAAGTATAAATGTATATATGTATGTCTTTTACACACAGTTGTGGGAAAACACTGCTGGCTAAAATTGTTAGCAAATGTACCCATCTGCCTCTCCCACATGCAACACTTATTGCTGTTAGGAAAGTAGATAATGGAGCAGCTCTATCTGCTACAGGCTGCTGATTTCAACAACACAGATGTTTTGCAGACACAGACTTTTATAATAAAAGCTGAAATCAACGATAATGATGATAACAACACAAACAAATCCCTTTAGAGCCACAGGTCTGAAATGACAGAACAAAAACATAATTCCTCCACTGTACAGTGAAGTAGAGTTTTAACTTGATTCACAAGGTGAGTCTCCTTTCTGTGACCGAAACAAAGATGGCTGCCAGACAAGTAAGCCATTGATTGTTCATTGGATGTTGGACATGCGGCTTATAAAACCAGTTGTTGTCTTCTATTCCTACTTTTGATATGAATTTAATCATCAGTGCAAGCTTTTAAAATGTTTTCTGCCACTTGGAGCCACCGAAGTGCAGTTTCCTATTACAAATTCAAAGACTCAGTTGTGGGTAATCCTTATTGATTTCTGAATGTTGCTTCATAAAAGATGCCAGGGCAACATGATGTTAACACCACTTGCATGTGTGATGTGTCTCAAAGTTTCATCACACACATCATAGCTCTAAAGTGTTTCTGCTCAGCTGGAAAACTCATCACTGCTCTTCATTGTTCTCTTCATCTTTCTTTCTTGTCAACCCCCAACCTCATCCAATGTTTCTCCTTCTCCTCGCTCCCTTTTCCTCTCCAAGATTGTTTCCCAGGCAGGGCTAACAGGAAGTGAGCACAATGTGTTGGCTGACGAGAGAGATAACACAGACAGGAAGGGGCGGGCACAACGCCCCAGATGGACAGGAAGTTGACTCCACTGTTTGGTTTAGCTGATTAGAGGAGGGAGAGAGAGCGCAACAGTGTAGTAGAGGTACGGTGAGGCAAACAAGGAGAGCAGGAGAACCAGATTGAGACAGAGAGAAGTGGAGGAACTGGCTGCTCTAAGAATATATATGATCCCAACAGGAAAGCACTGCGAGGGCTTCCAGCTATTGTATCCACCGTTTATCAAATGGCATTCCACACAGGCCAGAGTTTTAAAGAAACAAGTTCAAGTCCAAACAAAACAGAATAAACAGGGGAGTAAATAAACTATATTCTCTAAACTAGAATGAAATTACTTCTTTTTATTTAAACAAAGGGACTGTCCTGAAGACACGTGGCTGTCAGCAGAGTGGACTATTTTAATGGGAATGGGCATTTTACAGTTAAGTAAACTGATTTATAAGTTGTCACTCCTGACAATGAGTGACCTTTTACTGTTATGACTTTATAAATGACCTTCTAACTGCAAAAGCCATGATTTATCAGCAGAGCCTTCAGTTATAATGAGACAAAATGTCTTTATTGTTTTAATGCTATGGTGTCATTGATAAATAGTTCTTGGCTGGTTGCTCTACAACCTTCTCTGAGATAGCCAGGGGTCAAACAAAGTATCCTTTGCCTTCTTGTAAGATGGGACAAACTAGAGTTAGTTCCAGGTCAGTGAAATTATTTTAGCTTTGTTTATGAATGATCAGTGCAGTGCTTTTTGTTTCTTGCTAAAAATCATCTAAAGATTGTCACAATGTTGGATCAGAGTTCATGTGACAACAGTAGCCAAAAAGAATGAGAGGTTAAAGTTATTCAAGCCACCTCAGAGTCATCACAACTGCCCAACTAGCTGCTTGTGCTACTTGGTGTTTCCTGAGTTGTCTGAATTACTTTTGTTCTAGTAGACCTCTGAGAATTGGGCTTTCATCTGAGCAATAACTGTGATGATGGGTTCTGTCAAATAAACCCTGTTGTAATTCTGTTTGAGCAGCAGTAGTGCCATTTCCTTTCTGTCTGTCTATTGTCTTTTCTCCCCTCAGAGCAGATGGGAAAATGGTCAAAATGAGTCACTTAGACAATTACTCCTCATTCATTTAAAGAAAACACAAAGAGGGGAAAGGATTTCATAAGGTTTCTACCTTGAAAAAAACAGTGCTAAAGTTTTGATGGACCATATCTGAACTTTTTCTTTACTCCATTGACAAACACCTCATCTTATGTCAAGACCTGCTGCACAATTGCATTCGGGGAAATGTAGTAAATCTTTAACTATATACAATGAGAAGTGGACATATAAGAAAACTGCACTGGATATCATAGACTGATGAACTGTGTAGGTTTTCCATGTTTAACCTTCCTACACAGTCCTTTTCAGTATTTTAGATAAACTCAACACAACTGGCATCTCGCTGTCATCAAACATCTCAAACGTCTTTGAGTTAAAACTCTTGTGGCTGCTCAAAGTTTTTCACCTCAAACAATAAAACGCCTCCACGTTCATATTTACAAATAAAATTTCCAACCTAGGTCAAAAATAAAATCATCTTCTTCTCGTTGTGTTTGTGGCCCTTTTATAAAACATAAAAAACATACAATTTAGACGAGATTAAAAAAGAGAAGAGTAATACAGAAAATGGCAAACTTAAATCAGCAATGAACTGCTTTGACATGCACCATTTTGCATCCCCAGTAGGACGTAAAACTAATTTAAAACTTTATTTTATATTGAAATTCCAATAGTCAATAAACTTAAATGAGCTCATATCCAAATGACAAGTTTATGTCTTTCAATATTAGCCAGGATATAATATGCATACATTTAAAAACAATGTTTTTGTAGTAAATGTAGGCTTTGTGTCCATGTTTAGTAGTCCCAAATGCAACCGTGGTAGGTGTATATGTAGATACATAGAAAAGACTAATAATAAAAGAGACAGGATACAAACCTGCAATACAGTCAATGGTAGTACAAAGGGGATGCAAAATGGTGCTGCAAGAAGGAGCTGAGACACAAGTTAAATGCAAAAGAAGTTGAATAACTCGTCGCTGGCCAGCAGTGAACTGATTAACCAATCAGGTCTCCAAGATAAACTGATTGTCTACGGCCCGAAGTGGAGTTTCATCTGTTTGGATTTCCAGATCTTCTTAGGTAGAATTAAAGGGTTATGGTGTCAAACATCACAATACTATGATGGAATAAAATGCATCCTCACTGTATGAATCACTCCCTGTCACCAACAATCAATCCTCTTGCACATCTGTGGTGCAATGTTCTGGTGTTGCATAAAAAATAGTCTCGACTTCTCATAGAAGGTGACAAAGGGCACCTTGTCATCAAAAGTAAAAGAGCTCCAAAAACAAAGATTCCTTGATTATACTTGGAGCCTCCTGGAGTTTGATGAAGCTCTTATTTAATGACTGGGAGTGAACAGACTTGGAAGCCTTGACAAACTAACGGACTCACTGAATTAAACTTCATAAGAAAAGTTCAATGTTACACTGGAAACAAGAGCGCCCTGATTCTGTTCTCAGAAGCTAGAGAAGTCTTTGGAGAACATGTCTGCTTGATCGAAGCTCCTTGTCCAGAAATAAAGTGGACAGAATCAAAGCTTGGTTCTATGTGTGTGGGAATGTGTATATTTACTGCATGCTTTTGGCTTTGTGTAAGTGTATTTCTATGGCTGTTTTTGGTGTGTGTGTGTGTGTGTGTGTGTGTGTGTGTGTATTTTGGCACCATATACTAAGCTTATTAGCAGACGGTCTCCATCAGTATTGATGGTAGTACTCATGTCCATCCACGCCATACAGCTCGGCCAGGGTCCTGAACCTTGGCCCCCAGTCGCTGAGGAAGTCGTAATCCAAGTTTGAACCGGTGGAGGAACTTTCCAGAGAGCTGAGACTTCCGGCTAAAGACTCTGGTCCCTCGTAGCCGTAGATGTGGAGGGTGTCGTACGGAAAGCCGTCCCTGTCGTGATCTGCCTCATCTTTCTTCACCTCGATCATCACGGCCATGTCGCCCTTACATGCGGTGGGTTGAGAGTGGTGAGGGGGTTTCTGGACCATGGCGTAGAGAGAGGGATGGGGGTGGTGGTCCGGACGACGGAGTAAGGAGCCATCATGGCAAGCAGAAGACAGGATTGAGACATCGTAGCTGAAAGAGAGGAATACTGTGTGTAAGAGCTGGTTCCTCACCTAAGAATGGGTGGGTTGTTTTTATTCATGATTAAATGTTTGTTTCAGGGGGTCATGAGCATTTTCTGGCTTGCAAATAAATCAACACACTGCTATTTATCCTAAATATCACAAAATAAGGAAAATAAACAGTGACATAGTGCTATCAGAGGGAATAAAAACATCAGCTAATATTTAAGCTATAATACTTATTCCTATTTCAAAACAAGGAAGTAAGATTTTATCCTTTTGTAACAAGTATATATTTGAAATTATGAGAACAGAAATATCAATAATAATTTCTGTTTTCTCTTTTGACAGCATGCAGTGTGGTGAAGTTAATATGGATAGTCTACAGGATTATGTATGGTTTTAATACTATTTAAATATGGATAAGATTAGATTCAGATTAGATTAAACTTTAATGATTTCTTTTGGAGAAACTAGGTCAGCAAATTGATGGATTCAGCAAAGAAAATAAATATTGCAAATGGGGAGAGTTGATAGTGCATGAAGTATGAAGACATAAATATCTGTTTATGTCTTATATATAAACAGAAATATGAATTATTTGAAGAACGTTTACATTTACAGTAAACAAGTTTGGTTTTTAAATTTTGTTTTAATTATGTGTTTCAAATAATAAATTTGACTTCCCTTAACTTTAGTTGTTACCACTCATTGAATTTAGTGATGACACTTTTAAGGGTCAAACAAACAAAACCAAAAACAAAGCTGAAAATAGATCTTTTTATTCACTCTCTTGTTTCATGATTTAACATCCAGTTCATAAATTATAGTTGTTGTTTCAGAAGTTAGAGGTTAAAAATCATTGTATTTTGTGAGAAGTCCATAAAGAAAAAGAATGGGAAATGTACCAATGTCAGCACATTTCAGTTATATATTCATTCATATATTCATTCAAGTGAGTTTTTTCTTCATACCCATTAGTGTCCATCTCTCCTCCTCCCTCCTCATCATACGTGACTAGCTGCTCATGAATCTCCCCGCTGTTCTTCATACTGGCCAGAGAATCCTTCTGGTAGCGTTTCCTCATCACAAACAGGATCACGATGACTGAAAAGCACAGCAGAGGAAAGTTTATTTTACAACATATTCGTTGTGTGAATCCTCTTAGACAGCAGCATCTTTCACACATGTTAAGAATGTCATTTTAGACATAAGGGGCAGAGATTAACAAAACTGAATATGGGATAGGCTGCAAGTGTCGAATCAAATATTTACTTCACATTTTTGCTCATGTGAGATCTGACCTTGCAAGATTAAGGCCATCTGAAATTGTTCTAGAAAATCACTATCTGAGGAAGATGAAGAAAATAAATATATGTATCCAGGCCATATATAAATGTAAAACCCTCTCTGATGCATGTCTCATCTGTTAAAGGAGTTATAGCTAATGGTAAAAAATTGAAGACGTCCAAAGAAGAACAATCATCTTTCCTGCTGAATCAACACTTTATTTAAAAACATACAGAAAATTAGGCCAGAAAATCCACAACATAATAAGAATGGGAGCAGGAAACAAGTGAGAAAAGTGGCACACTAATGAGGGAATGATACTAGAAAACAGAACAAGAATAAGGGGGAAAATGAGGAGTGGATGGTTTAAGGTGGCTGAGACGTTTGCCTCGAGCATGAAAACCTCAAATGAATCTACTCAAGCAGAGACAAACAGATAGCACAAAGAGAGGGAAGAATTAGAAACAGGAAGAGAGACTCAGTAAATACAGTGGGGGAAGTGGAAATGAGTATGAGAAAACAACATGAGAAAGAAAGGAAAGGGAAGGAAAGTTGTATCTGGCACATGACGAAGAATTAAACAATTGAGAAAGAGGGAGAAGGAGAAGGGGTAAAGAAAGGAGGGGAAACAAAGGAAATGAAGTAAGAGAGTATAGACAAGAACGATCAAGTGTCAAAGACCTCTGCCAACGATAAGAATTATTACTCTTGTCTGTCAGGAGCAATGATGGAGGTATAGCACAGCATTGTTGCAGAGCCCCTGCGGAAGAAGGTTGTGGAAATCAAATGGGTCAACAGAGACCACTGTTCGCTTCCTACACAGTCAACACTGGTTTCCAACCCAAAACACAGTCTTTACCTAACCCTAATCAAGTTAGTTAGTGCCTAAACCTAACCAAATCTTAACCACAACAGTTTCGGGTCAACTGAACATTCATCAAAAGGAATTTGCCTTGGGACAACAAGGACTCTATGCTTTAAAATATTCACCAACCATGTGACATAAACAGTTCTGTCAAACTCATAAAGGTTAAAACACGTTTAAAACAATCTTAATGCGAATGACAGACAGAAACACTTGAACAACAGACTATGATTTTATCTCCTGCTTGTCAACCATTTCAGTCTACCTTGGTCTGATCATTCGTAACACCCAAATCCTATACAACAGGTCCAGAAATCATAATGTGTGTTTCAAGCCTAACTGTAAACAAAATAAGAAACTGGACGAGGTCGAAGGACTATTTTGACACTAACAGAGAAATAAAGACTATAGACATACAGACTTTTACAGGCCATATGAAGACAGTAAACCTGGTTCAAACTGTAATTTTGCCTGTGTTGCATTTCTTTGGTATAAACTTACCATCCACGTTGATAAAAAACAAAAAGGGGGGGAGAGTTTCTTGCTTACGCCCTGCATTTCAGTGGCCAGAGAGATGACGGACGAGGACAAGGAAGAATAAATAAGGAGAGCAGCCAACGACTGAGGGAAGGAGGAAGAGGAAGAAATGGAAGAAGTCTGGGCCGAAGAAATCAAAAGAGAAGACAGATGAGGGGGAGAAGGATACATTTGACATTAGATTAGGCCTCAAGCCTCAGTCCCGATATGAACCTCTTTCTCTCTCAGCGGACGGGCAGCATTAGCCATGCCTTTTAGTCGAGGGCGAGCGGGACTAATTTAAGTTTGCCTGGGAAACCAACAGATTAATCTTTTACAACACATGCTCTGCAGTTTAATAAGCTCTGGAGATATCAGACTTAGAGGGACAAGAAAAAAGAAAAAAAAAGAAGAAGAAGTCCTTTCTTTGTACAGAAACCACTGAGAAAAATTTCTTCTCGTGTGTCAAACCCGGCTTCTTGTGAGAAAATGCTTCGGTGAATGGGGAGCGCGGTAAATTGCTTTGGGCCCAGGCAGATAATGACAAGTGCATTAAATAGTTAATCTTGGCCTGTGTTGGGGGTGTTTGATAAAGAGAAAGAGAAACAGAAAAGGGGAAGAGAGGGCGGCAGAGAGAGAGAGAGAGACCCAGAGGGAAAGAGAAAGAGGAAGAGAGAGATGAAGGAAAAACGGAGGGGAAAAGGCCCGATAGTGAAGGAGTATATTAATAGTTAATAGGTTGAGTGTTTGGTGGTGTTTGATAAGCAGACGGCACCTAAAGAGCTGATAAACTCTCCTCATTACCACTCCTATTCTTCTGCTGCTTTTCCCACAATTCTCCTCTTCGGCATCTCTCTCTTTAACCTCTTTCTGTCTTGCTCTGTCACTCAGTCGGTCTCATTCCACCTCAGTTCTCTGTCTCACTCGCCTCTCGTCTGTCTGCCTGTTTCACCCCTCTCCACCTCCCATATCTAAAACTAGATATGTTTTTTTTTTTTTCATCTGTCACTCCGCCTCCGTCCCTGTTAATCTTTAAGTTCTTCTTCTCTTTGCCTTTCTTGCTCAGCACTTCTCATCCCAGATCCCTCTTGTTTGGCCAACTATCTCCGGCGTGCCTCTCATCCAACATGACAAGTGTCTCTTTTTCCCCAGAAAAAAAGAGCAGGGGGCGAAGGTATCAAAGAGAATATTGAGCTCACACAACCGCAGGCATTATTTCCACATCCGCCAATGCATTATTCATTAAACCAACAACAAAGGGAGGGGAACTGTTCCCCACAAAACACAAACCTTATTTATCGCAGAGCAAGGGCAAGTGAATCTGTGCACATGCTCAAATCACTCAGTGCTGGCTTTTTGCATCATTGATGCCATCTTCATGAATTCCTCTCAGAATAAAAACTCTGTGGGTTTAGGAAGATATTTTGCACCTGTTTGTTAACAGAATGTTAAACAGCCAAGACTGTAAGGAAAAATCTCTTCAGCAGCACTTTCCTCATGAACATCTCAATCTCTGCCCTCTATCACTGATTAAAACAATGACTATTTCACAAATGTTAATATATTAGTTTTTAATCAACCTTAAACAAACCAAGAGCCACACAGGAAGTGATGCATTTTATTTTTCCCTCTTTTTTGATTGTGATTCTGATTTGTTTACTTCCAACAAACTTCCTACTTCCACCTACCAAAAGATAACATAAAGTCAGTTTTCTCAAACCAATTCCAGACACAAGATCAAATGAACATAGCTGTCTACACAATGAACAGGAAATTGTGTTTTAAAAACTCTTTTAACAGGCAACTTAAAAAAACAACTGAAAAGCAGTGTTTCACTGCCCTCTCTGGCTCAATGTTTCAATTTCATCTCTGACCACACCCAGCATTAGTGATCTCACCTTCTAGTGGAAATCAACAAAAATGTCAGTCAACACACAGTTGCAACTCACAAGCCAAACAGAGTATATTACTGCTACATCACCATGCATGTAAGTTGTTGAAACCTGAATAATTACATTTTCGCTGTTTTTGCAGGTGTCTATGATTTTACCATTTTGGTAGCATAAATGCACAGACGCATTTCACCTTTTTTTATTCCATGCATTCTTATTCGTTGTCAAAAACAGGGCACCTACATGCAACTGTCAGAGATTCAGTTGTGTTCTGCTACTAGCAGCTAACCTTAAGCAGAATAGCGGGCTGTAGATGTCTGGCAAGCTCACTTGTTTAAAACTGGACACTCAAGGATTTCTTTCATTTTGCAGTTTTCAGGTTGTAGTCTTTAGCCCTAACGACGCTGACAAAAGTGACATAACTTGAGGCAAGATGAAAAAAAAATCACTTCAGGCACAAAACAAATGTCTCCATCCTGATGAAAACCCTGACAAATGATCTCTGAGACGTGCTGTGCAGTGATGAGCACGATGAAGGATGAAGGATAGAAAGAAACTAAATAGGAAGTCAAGGAAAAGAAGAACACAAAATGTAGACTTACCCAGTATGGTCAGTATGCAGAGCAGGATGGCTATCAGGGCATGGACACTCACTCCCATCCTTCGGGCGCCGGCTTTGCACTGTGTAGGACTCCGTCTGGCATCACACCGACACGACTACAACAGGTAGTACAAACAATAACTCCGTCAGAACATTAGTGAAATTAAGCAGTGTTTACAAACTGTATATCCATCTAAACTATACATTGCATGGGAGTAGATATTCAGAGTTTTACTGTAGTAAAACTGGTGATTTTGACTAAATAAAAGAGCACTGAAAACTTTTCAATTCTTCCATGTGCTGAAATAATTTCAGGCTGTTTCAACCCACACACACAAACACACACACAGACCTTGATTGCAAGTTTGGTCACGCTGGTCTGGATGGGTCGCCCTCCGTCACTGATTCGCACATCCACGCTGTAATCCTTGGGGTCATCCAGGCTGAACGGCCCCTCTTTCACCACAATGTCTGCTGTGTTGTCTTAGGAAAGAAGCATATAAACACACACAGTGAGTGTACAAAATATGACAACCACCGTCACAACACAAATTTACCTTTCCTTTCTGCACAATCCATGCCTAATTTGTCTGACTCATCACTTCATCTCACTAAAGCAGATCTAATGTTCACCTGCTCGGTATATGGGGTCTTTAAAGTCTATTTATACAGCAAGCGTCTGTTCCACAGATAAAACAAGAAACGAGAACAAGAAGAGAGTTGTTACATAAAGGCAGACAGATCATTTGTGATTATGTGTCAGTTTAGTGCATTTAGGAGTTGAGTCATTTAGGATTATAGATGATGGCAGCACCTTAAACACCTGAAGTTGTGGCATCCTACACTTGGAAATACCCAAATAAATGCATCAACATACTGTACTTTCCTATCCTTTGTGACTGGAAATGTCTGTCCAAATACAATATAGCACCTAATAATTTGGATGTAATGTGGTCAATGGGTAGCCAGAATGGTTTTTAAAGTCAAGATTTAAAATACACAATAAGCTAACAAAAGCACCAAAAGGGAACAAAATCAAAAAGAATTGTAATAAAAAGAGAACTGAAACATGTTGAGCAGAACAGAGCAATGTCTCCTCAGCAGACCAACAATAGAGTCATTAGTTAAATCCCCGGTAGGCAAGTTTCCTGCTGAGACGATGGGGAGAGCCGTTTCACAATATCCCACCACTGGAGGAATTTCAGAGAACACAATGGCAGGAAAGACCCTTGTTAACACTCAAACATACCTAGAGACACTCTGTTAAACTCTGAGACAAAGACACACGCAGCAGAGCTCTGGTTTAAGGGCAGGTTTAAATAAAAACAACCTGGGTGTTGCTGACATTTGCACTTTGAATACAAATTATATCGGCCTTGTAAAGGGAGGTACAGTAAATCACTTGAGTCAACAATTTCATCTCTCCTGAGACTTGGCTCACATTTTTTTTAAATGAACTCCACTTCCACCCTTCCGAGGTTTTAGAGTATCGTAAGTATCGTTAAGACTGAAGCAACTGATCATCATTAGCCTATATTTGAAAAGCCTTCCTTTAAAAAGGACAAGCTCTGCATGCAAACTACTTTCTCTTAAGTCTAATGAAAACAGGTCACAGTGTGTTCAGTGTGGATAATCCAGAGTAATGGAGACAAGGTCTCTGGAAAGATGTGTTATTGTTGAATTTCCTAATGTCATTTTTTAAGTGTTTTCATTGCACAATTTAAATTCTATTCAGCTCCATTGTATAAAGACCACACCACATCAGAAAGGCCTGCATCTTCTCCAAACAGGTGGCGCTAGACATTGTAGCTTGTGAGCTAAAGGCAAACACAATACCCAGCTGGGAACATGCTGGCGCCAGTCAGTCAAACTCCTGGCCACAATAGCTTTATAAGCCAGCCAGCAAGCTCATTAGCTCGGTTGCTAACTTCACAAAAAGTTCTCACTTTTGAGAGATGGAAATCTGAAATCCTATTCTCCAACTAATAGCATCGAGGTGAGTGAGAAAAGATGTCTTTTGTTGACAGTTCAAAATGTCTGACAGCTAAATAAGGTCTACACAACCACCTCATCAGGTTTCCACTGTTGCCTACAAGACAACATGTAGTCACTGAAGGTGTGTGTGTGGGAGGACATGGGTGCAGATCAAGCCTTAACTAACTGAATAAAAGATGAAAACAGCTTCTGTCCTCCCTTCATCTCATCCCTCCTCTTCGTCTCCTGCTCCTTCTTTGTTTGAATTCATCTCCTTCCTGTCTCACTGGATTTCTGTATTTTTCTCACTGTCCTCTCTATATTTCTTTTGTTCTCTCCATGTCTCCCCTCCTGCATCTCATTAGTTCCCTTCTCTCTTCATCTCTTTGTCTTCCTTCCTCTTCCTCTCTCTTGTCTGTCTAGTATTAATGCAGTGAGCTTCGTGTAGCCGCCTGGTCTGAACACCGAGTCCTGTCACTTCACTGTGCAGCTACACTGACTGTTGGAGTGTGTGTGTGTGTGTGTGTTTCTGGAACCCGTAATGAAAGCATGGTTGTTTTTTGCAACTTTTAAAGAGCTGGTAGTCGATAAATATTTTAAAAGCCCTCACTTTGCAGCTCTTGTTGTATGTGTGTGTGTGTGTGTGTGTGTGTGTGTGTGTGTGTGTGTGTGTGTGTGTGTGTTGAGTTTTTGCGATAAGTGGTTTGAGGTGCTGTCAGATGATTTTTGGGGGCCACAGTTGTGAACCACAGGGGAAAACAGAGGTTCACACTGACAACTAGCACTTATCAAACAGCTATTTACCTCCTCTCCTCTCCTCTCCTCTCTTTGCCCTTTTTGTCTAGTTCCTCTCATCCCTTTTCCTCGTTCTTCCTAGTTCACTGTCCTCTTCCCGTCAATCAGTTTCTCTACTATCCTACAATACTATCTTTCCCTTTTCCTCCCCTTTTTTAACGTAATCATCTTTCCTTCTTTTATTATGTCCTCAGCTCATGCCCTCCTCTTTATCCACATTTCTTCCTCTTTCACATACTCCTGTTTTAGATTCTTCTGTCTTCTTTCTGTTTTCACCTTTCTTCCTCCACACTAAATATTCTTCATTCTACTCCATTCATTGATAATTTCTTTTCTTCTCTTTTCTATTTTTCTCTTGTTTATCTCTCTTTATTTTGCTTTTTCCTTTATATTTTCTTATTTTAACACGGTCTACCCATCATCCTTAATCCTGATCTCTTCCTCTCGCCTCCTTTCATCTTTTCTTCCACCTCTGCCTCATCTGTCTTTCCTTTTGCTCTCCTTCATCTTCCTCTTCCTTTTCTCCGTCGGTTCAACATGTCAACCCCTCCAGGCATGAGCAGAGAGGAAATGGATGAGGCAAGTTCATGCCTTTTCCCCCTCTGTTTATCTTCCTTTCAGTATGTTTCAAGTTTCACTTAAATTAAATAGTAACACTTCACCTAAATCTTTCATCTGACTACCTAAGGCTTTCATCTATTCAGAATTTTAATATTTGACTAGAACAGTTGGTAACACTTTTCCTCAGGCTTTCATGTATTATAAGGGCATGTGATGATCAAAAATGATGAAAACTGTTTTACTTGTGCCATTTTGTGTCCTAAGTTGAATAACCCAAATAGGCTTTGGAAATCTGATGTAACAGAGCACCAACCTTCGCCTAAATATCATTGTCTGAATCAAAGAAAATGTCTCTGTAGAGTTTTACACTATCAGTGTCATAGTCTGTTTATTCGAGCTGACATTTTTTAACTTGCAAATTTATATCTACACATTTTTACTCCCAAACAACAGAATGACTACTACTGCAGATGCTGCTTTGAATTTAGGAAAATCTATTATTATTATTATTATTATTATTATTAGCAGCAGCGATCTATGGTGGCAAAGAGTACAATACAAGTGTAAAACTACATTAAGTGATGTAATAGCAGGTTTCTGAGAATGATTTTAAAACCTCACTATACTATATTCAATTATACAAATGTTTTTTAGCCATGCTCACAGTCTGTCAGCCCACCACTTTTGTCCATACTGAAATATTTATATTTCTTTGATGAATAAAATTTGAGATATTCATGCTGCCCAGAGGATGAATCATAATGGTGACATAATGGTGGTGAATTTTAAACAATATACCTTCTAAACATCAACATGTTATCATTGCTATTGAGAGCAGCCTTTAGGTCGAAGCACTGGACTGCGTAAGTACACCCTCACATATTCGCTATCAGGGCTGTACTCTTGCTTGCTTGCATAAACAAACATACAATGGTCATATGCAGTAGATGCTTGGAAGACTGAACCCCACATTTATTTCAAACATTTTGCTTTTTTATGTTTAAAGCCCCTACAAGTAAATTCATTTTGTGTTGATTCTGGCGACCCCTGTGGATAAAAGCGGTAGTGTTTCTACAGCCTCATTTCATTGATTTTAAGGGGAATCTGACTAAATCCGACCAGGTGGCAGGCATTAGAAATAATTATAAAGAATAGCCAATCTTCTCACTGAGGGTCTGAGAAGGTTTAACATCCTTAGCTGGGATGAGTTTAGAATACATTGAGTCATCTCCAAGTCCACCGAGCCACTTATTCATTATTTTCAATATTTGCTGTTGTGCATTCTAAACAGCACTTATGGTCCCAGACAGACCCTCTAAATCCCCCGTCTGGCTAGGAGAACTAAAGCGTGCTTTGAGAAGTTAAAATAATTTCAACTTTCAGCAACAAAGCACCATGTCTCAAATGGAGTTCCAGTTGTTGCATAGCAACAAGTGCTGAGGCCAGTGCTTCCTCTGAGCACCATTTAGAGCAACAAGCAAGAATAGAAATGTAAAATATATGCTCAGTGCAAACAACGACTTACTGCCATAGTCTCTGATGGAGAAGTTGGAGCTCTCACTGGCGAGGCTGAAACTGAAGGACGCTGGTTGGTCGTCTTTATCTGTGGCTCTCAAAGTTCCTATCACCTGAGGAAAGAGAAAAGAAATACATAATTTATATCCAATTATGTCTAAATGCATACAGTATACAATACATACTATTTGTGAAATGAGCACAATTACCAAAATGCACTTTAAGGCATATATTGTTTACACACGTAATATAAATTACATCCATCTGTATAGTAGCATACATTGCACATGACATTTTGATACATTTATAATGCGGAAACAGCTAACATTTAAAGGTCCAGTGTGAAACATATAGGACGATCTATTGGCAGAAATGGAATATAATATTCATGGGTATGTTTTCATAATCAACTGAATATAGAAATTGTTGTCGTTTTGTTACCGAAGAATGAATCGTTTTTATCTACAGACAATGCAGGCAGCCTCCCAGGGTGTCATGTTGAACTGCCATGTTTCTACAGTAGACCAGAATGGACAAACCAAACACTGGCTCTAGATAAAGCCTTTTGTGTTTTTCGCACATTTCACGGCCACCATTGTTTCTCGTTCTCATTCCCAGGTCATTAAATACAGATGTGAGTGGTGTTCAGTTAGTTAGCAATCTGCAACTTTATCGCTAGATGCCACTAAATCCTACACACTGGACCTTTAAGTGACTGCAGAGTGCAGAGTGATGTGACACTTTTAACATCAGTCAAGCATTTTTTTTTACCGTATTAGCATTGTCGTTCTCACATATGAAGATGTCCTCCACAGCCAGTTCAGGTTTGTTATCATTGATGTCCTGAACCATAATGTTAACTTTCACAAATGACTCCAAACCTACAGAGAAGAGACAACAGCACATGATTAACTGGTAGCCATTCCATTTTCGGAATTTCTTTTTGTTAATGAAAACATTAAAAAAACGTTCCTAAAATCCATCTACATTTCGTATCCAGATTTTTTTGTTTATTTAGTATTGTTATCAATATGGTTCCCTTCACACAGCTTATTTGTCATTTGTGTTAATCTGACTGCCGTGCCGTGATACTGATCAGGTGTGCCTATCTCTGTCTTTGATGGAACTGATTAAGGTCAAGTGACTGAAAGGATTTTCATTTGTGAGCTTTTTGTTTTGGCAGTTCTTTTTTTTGGTCACATTAAAGCAGCTTTTACATTTATTTTACATCACTGATGTTCTGCTTGAATATGCACCTTTTGATAAATGTGCAGGTCTCTTGTACTGAGATTTTGAAACTATCTTTAGTACAGTACATGTACTGTATATCGAGGACCTTGTCAAGCTCAGGGGACCATTGTGTTCCTTAAACATCGTGACAAGCCACTAAAATAGATCTCTGGATTTCATTCATTGCTGGTCTAAAAATATGTAGTTTGGTTTGGAAGCTGCAAGTGAACAAAGAGACCCGTTAATGTGATTTTCCTGCTTACACTCTCCTTCCCATGCGGGTCGACCAGGTGTTGTGGCAGTATGTTAAATCTATAACAATCCCTGTTAATGTGTTACACTTCCATCCCTCAATAAATCCAGAAGAGCTGCTCGGTGAACAACAAGAGAACACACTGTCTTTTTGGCCTTTCTAACGCCCTCCCTGTATGCACATTGTTAGAGAACACACATGGTTTTCATTTTTATCTGAGGCTCTATTGTTTAAAGGAAACAGGATTAATAAACTAGTGTGTGACGTACCATTTGGCTCCTCTTGTGCTTTAACTTGAAACATGTGTTTGGCCTCCAGCTCTCTGTCCAGCATCCTCAGGGTGGACAGCTGACCTGTAGACGGATTGATACTGATAGGACAGTCCTTGTCTAAGATGGAGTACCTAAACAGAGAGAGCAATAGTCAGTGTAAGAGCCACAATGCAGGATTAGTAATATTATTTGTTCATTTTTAGACGTCTGCACAGCTTTGTACCGTATCTTCTTGTTGGCTCTGTCCGGGTCTCTGGCTGTGACTGATGCAATGTTGTCCACAATCCGTTCCTCCACCACATTGAAAGTGTACATGTGCTGGGAGAAAACTGGTGGCTCGTCTACATCCAACACCTTGATGTTTACCTGTCGATTTAAGTGTATCATAACAGTTGAAAGACAGCCTTGACTTGTCATTTGCGCACATGTATTAAAGCTTTAAATGAACTGTTGGACTGAACTTCTTTGTTCTTTATTTATACAATCTCCAATTGTACAATCTCCAATTCTTAATTTTCCAATTCAGTGACTTTTAAGTTTAGTTTACTTGTGTAAGATGTAAATTTGGAAGTGAGTTTATCAACAAATCTAACATTATTTCCTTCACTGAAGCAGACAATGCTGTACCTGTACTTTTATGCCATAATAATCAACCGAGCTTAACATTTGATTCTTTGTTCTGGTTTTAATAGAAAATAAATGAGAAGTCGGGTGATAGCATCCCTGGAGGAGGGCTTAAAGACTGGGGAATTACCTGGGCTGTGGTGACAGCACTGTTCAGGTTGTCAGCAGGAAAAACCAGGTTTCTTAGGTTTTCTCGCACCTGGACGTTGAAAGTGTAGCTGTTTGTTGTCTCGTAGTCCAGAGCCTGGGGATCCCAGAAAGAAGTGAATGGGAATTTAGTCCACAACAAATTAATAATACATACTTATTAGATCAGGATTTGATTTAATATTGACCTTAGTTGACCTATTGAGCTCTTGTCATCCTTGCATTGGCTACATTCATATCACATTATTTTATTATCGTATAAATGCTGTCGACAGATCAGAGTGTTCAGTTGTGGAAGAAAACTAACCTGCACCACGCACTTCACCTAGTAAATAGTTCCTGTTGCTTGATAAAGTTAAGATCTTTCTCAGAGTTGTATATTTCCACATATCTTGCTTCTGTTTTTAGACAGGGGTCACATTGCATTGCACTTTATTTTTTTATCTGCTCAAATGCATCTCCTATCTTCATCCTCAGTGCATTAACACCTGGGTCTGTTCACCAAGGACATCAGTCGATGCCAGGTCTAAAAAGGCTCTAAATGTCACAACTCAGCTGAAACAACCTGGTAAAGCTCATACTCTGGATTTAAGAAACACATTAAAATGCCCACTTTTTCCGCCATATTAAATATGTTACTATGCGTGGAAATACCTCATTCCTTTCACTTTTTCAACATCTGCACAGACTGTGACTGGTTACGGATCCACTTTCATGTCTTCAAATATATGCCAGCACTGCTTACTGTCAGATTTATGCTTATTATTTATTTCCACTGTATTAGAAATAACCTACTATTCAGTTATATGTTTTCTCTGGCAGACTGTTTTATCTGTGGATGGGACACCACAGGTAGACATATTCTGTTAACTGGATTATTCATGGCAACAGGGAAACTCAGTCGCAGGCTATCAAAGGCATGTGTAAACAGCTTAACAAGAATAAGACCTTAACCGCAGTGTGGATGATAGCTGGCTTACTCTGTACACGTAAACACAGCCGGTGCGAGAGATGAGAAGGGCTACAGAGCTGAGGGGCTAGTTGAGCAGAGAGAAGATTGTGGTGTGATTCGATTCCAGGCCAGCGTGGGTACAAGCTATTACAGAGCTCATTTCATTAGAATACATTTTCAGCTCTCTGATGTTCTAAATACTTTATCTGAAGAGCACAATCCAGTGAAGTAAACCTGCTAATTCCTGCAAGCATAAATAGCTTTCTTAACAAAAAGGAGGACAGGACTTTTATCCTGCAAAAGAAATCTCACATTTGACATTGCAATTTTCATTTTTCTTTTTGTGTAATTGGTGGCCATTTGGTAGCACAATGTGTAGGGAGTCAGAACCAGAAAACACTTTTGGATGTTTGTAATGTCGGTGATTTTGGCAATTTAGTTTTTTTGTTTGCTTCTCTCATACCATTCTGAATGAAAACATAACTTAAATTCCTAAAATATAAACTCTAATCGTATTTTGGACATGTGGTTCTCATTACTTTTGGGGCAGCAGCAAGCATGAGTATGCACCTAAACCACCTTTGCATGAACAATAAAATTGAGCTATCCATATGTGTTTTTTGGGGAGGCCGGTGGAACTTCTGCAGCTGAAGAGATTATGGAGTAGAAATAAGATAACAAATTGGATTTAAAAAATTGTGTTGCTAATCTATAGTATATGTATTGTCATTCACCGTCCTGAGTCTGTTTTAACACCTTAACATGTGCTGTGATTGAGAGCATGTGTAAACTTGCAAGCCAACGAAAGTAATAAATGTGCAGTTTCTAGTAGTAGTGCAATGCAGTGAATGCAATGAATGCAAACATGATCAACACGGAAACATTTATAAATACACCAACTCATCAAAAATCATCATCACAAAAATGTTGAGTATGGATTCATATATGCCAATGATCAACACAGCCACTGTGTTTTCACACATCTGACAGAGCTGTCAGACAACAAAGGTTGGAAACTACTGCTTAACTCTATCACAAATTTCAGACAGCAAACACGGCAGCAAAATTCCCTAAAGCACTGAATCAGTATGTATTTCCATTAAAAAATCAACTTGACACTCCAAAAGCAGGAAATGCTATGGCTGATTTACAAATACAGAAATAAAAACATAACTTAAAAGAGCCTTGAGATATCATCTTTTCATTCGTTGCCATGTGAGCCTCCTACCTGCTTGAGCATGAGGTTACCGTCCTTGTTAGGGCTGAGTTCAACATTAAACACTCTGTTGATGTCATTTGGGATGATAAAGATGGGTTCTTTGTTCTGAATCAGATCTCTGTCCTCCAACTCCAGAGTGCCTATTTTCTCATTCAACTTGTGGTCCTCTGGAACCTGCAGTTCATATGTCTCTGCAGACAGAAAACAGACATCAAATGTAATGCTGTGTATATGAGACACGTACAATTAATATGTAAAGTACTGTGAATATTTAATAGGCACACTGTCAATGTTTCCAGAGTAGCAATTCCTAAACTATTTCATATTACTCTAACACTTTGAGTTCCTCACTTCGGGTGAAAGAAGCGATGTTGTCGTTGGTGTCGGTGATGGTGATGGTGACAGAGGTGGTGGCTGTGCTGCCAGAGGCCATTCCTCTCATGTCCTGAGCTTTAACAACCACCACATACTGACTCTTGGTTTCCCGGTCCAGATTATGTATCTTGCAGCTGATCACACCTGCAGAGAGACAGTGAGGGAGACAGACAGACAGAGAGGGTGTTATCTTTGAGGTCAGCTCTGACTCACAGTCAAGTAAAAATAGCTTGCACATCTACACCTCCCTAACATTAACTTGTTAATGAAGAAAAATATGATGTTACTGCAGAATAATGATCATGTTGGATGTCTGTGCCGTGAGCCTACCTGTCAGGCTGTCGATTTCGAAGGCAGAAAGGTCTTGGGTCAAAGAGTACCTGAGTTCGCCGTTAGCAGTGGTGGAGTCATCAGCATCGGTTGCCGTCACCTCAACTACTTTAGTTCCTGGAGGAACATAAATGTAATAAGACATCATGCTACAGTGTATAGTGTTATACAAGTGCATAACTCTCCAACAGAAATGTTTCTTGTATTGAACATCACGGTTATGTAACTGATTAATGCATTATGATTATGTGCTAAGATTGTGTTATTTAAGTCAGCAATGTGCCTTTTTTCACAGAGGGATGCGCTAATGATTGTGACAGGTGTTGACATTTAATTTTTCCCAGACTTTTCACAGTGCAGTCTATTTTTAATCTAAATTATCACTGGGTAGTAAATGTCAAATATATATATGCAGTGATAGAAACTTTGTCTTGTAAGGATTCGCTTCATTCATGGTCTTGGCAACACATTTTTATTTCGTTTTTTGTGTTTTCTCATAGAGTTTAGGCTGGTTAGAACACATTGATGTTGTGGGCCTATAAAGCCCATTGTTAACACTGTATGTAATATAGGCCTATACAAATAAGCCTGATTTTTCTCTCATCTCCCTATCCCATCACTTGTTAAAAAAACTAAAATTGTGAGCAACCTGCAATCAACTGCTGATGATCAACAGCCCAACTCACCTATCGTGGACCTCTCCATAATGGATCCATTGTATGCTTTGGGGAAAACAGGGCTGTTGTCATTGATATCCGTCACCTGCACAACAAAGTCTCCAGAATCCTCTATCATCTTGTTGTTCCCATCATACATTGTGGCAGTCAAATGATACATGCTCTTCTCCTCTCTGTCCAGAGATCTGGTGACAAACAGGTCTCCTTTGTCATCCACAGTGAAGATGCCGTTTGCTCCTTCACCTTTTATTTTAAACTTCTTCACCTCAGCACTCTGGCTCGATTTTAGCTGTGAAAGCAAAAAAAAAAAAAAAAAGGAATACGGTTGACTGTCTCCTAGTTTTCAGTATTCATTTTGTTCCCTGCTGGAGTGAGGACTCAAATTAACAACCGTCCAGCAAATTTCTACAAATAAACTGAGTATTCTAGCAAAAATGCTTAGATATTCATCAAAGAGCTGGTTATAGCAACAAGTTCATGCCCCAGATTCTTGGCAGCATCAAACTGAATGAAAGTGACAAAAATACATGTTTGCCTTCCCTTCAGACAGCCATGGCAAGTAGATTTTTGAATGTTTAAACACTACTGTAGAAGCTGGGCCCAGGAAGTACATCAGAAATTTAATGAGAATTCTTGTGGGATCGTGTTAGTTGTGTGCTTCAGACAGTCAGGCTGATTTTAACCTACCTGTCCTATCTTGTAGGGAAGAGGCGCAGGTTTCTCCTCCTCCACATAGAGAGAGTTCCAGATCCAGTCTCTCTTCTGCCTGAATAGGACAGGATGAGTCTCCTTCTTCACAATCTCAACAGGGCCTCCCTTCTCTGCTTCCACCCCAGGTACGCCAGAATCAGCAACAGTGAGTAAGATGGACAAGGCTATAGTGGCAATAAGCCCCATAGTCCCCAGCTGGAGCCAAGCCATCATCTAGGGCAGAAAGGAGGGGGAGGGTTAAAAAAAAAAAATGAATACGCGTGAGTGAAGGAAGAGGCAAGACCAATGTGAGGAAGCAGGGAGGAATATGGAGGGAGATGAAATGAGAGAGGAGAGAGGGAGCAAAAGAGAAGAGGGAGGAGATCAAATTAAAACCACTTATCAGCCATGGACAGACCCCTTCACTGTGCCAGGGTGAGACTCAGAGTGAAGGCCAAGGACTCACTGTCCCCTTACAGTCCGCCGCTCAGCTCGAGGTCTAGCTATCATTTAGGACCAGGGCTATTAAACCTTTCAGCCTGGGACCCAAATGAAACATTTAGCCTCTCATCATGGGACCTGGGCTGAGGCATATCACTACTGTGGTCATATGGGGATCTATTAAACATAGGCCTATGACCCATTTTAGGTCCTGACCCATTGGTGTAGCATGAGAGAGAGACAGAAACAGAAAGAGACAGAGAGACAGAGACAGAGAGCGGAGCTGACATTAAAACCACTTAGGATGTCTGTCTTTATCAGCCATTAAGAAAGGCCATTTTCTATAAAGGGACTGTTTGACATTTTGAATTTTTGATGGTGTTTCTTTTTTCCCTTTAATAAAGCACATCAAATTGTGGAAAAAAGAAATGGTTTGGGTATAACACAGTGAGGGTTTTGTGGCTGATAAATTTGGACCAGTTTTAGCATATTCATTTTAAAGTCAAATACGACCGTGTTCCGACAGACATTAGCAATAAGCCAAATGCAGCCTCCTGTTTCAGTAAGACAGCCGCGTTTGCACCACAAGGATACCAAAACAGAGGTTTCCTGCGTATGCCATTGTTCAGCAATAAAAGATATATCTGACTCCACTTTTGCCATGATGTAATGCAGTGTTATCTTGCAAGAGATTGCACTGCACTGGCTAAAACAAATAAGCAAGCACACATTCCTGGTAGATTACTTCATAACATGAACAGTGTGATTCTACAGTTTATCTTATGAGATAGTGGATCAAAATATATTTGTATTAAATTAGTAAATAAATGTTTTAGCATCAGAAACTAATTGATTTATAACTTGAAGTATGTATTTTTCCTTCTTGGCTTTGTGAGGCTATAACGTTCATTGTAAAGATAACCAAACTGTTACAGAGATAAATCAAAGTACTGGATGAACTGACTTTTGATTTGATGATTGCACTGGAGGGGGTCACCAAAGTTCATTATGAATATGGCTATCTGCATGAAACTGTAATGGCAATCCATCCAACATTTGTTTAGACTAAACACTCAAACCACAAATATCAACCTGCTAGTGGCGCTATAGGAAGAATCAGGGGCTCACCAAAGTCATTAGGATTCATCCTCTGGATTTCATGGCCGTCTACCCAGTAGTTGTTGAGATCTTTCAATCTGGACAAAAGTGGTAGACCCACCAACCAGCACACTGGCAACTTGTGTTTTTTCTAATATCTAATTTCTAATATTTAATATCTATATACAATCATAAATCAAATTGAGTCTAATTTTAAGACATCTGCTCCATTTATTTAGACACAGTTGACTCCAAAGGCTACAGAACCAGTGTGTAGGCTTTGGTGGCATATGGCGGTATAGTTGCAGATTGCAACTCTCTCACTTTACCCTCCTCTTCCAAGCATATATAAAAAATGGCTCATATGGTAACAGAACACAATGATTCTTTTTTTCAGGTGATTACACACTAATGAAAACGGCATATTATATTCAATTTCTGCCAATAGATCCTCCTGAATGTTACACACTGGACCTTTAAAAGGTTTCTCACATCATCACTAGTGCGTGTTACATCATAAACATTACTGATATACCACAAACAATTCACATTTTGATTTTAATGACTAAAACGTACTAAATTGTCCCAAACCACCTCATATTTAAAGTTAAAATTCGGTGGAATCACATGTAAAATTGAAACCAAACTGGCACTTCATATGATTTATGGCTTTTGACTGATTACAAGTTGGAAGATGTTTCACAGCCTTGCGTCACTTGCTCCTGCCCTCGAGCCATTTTAGCACTATTTAACCAAAATAAAAACTATAAGGCACACAAACACCAGCAGTCTAGTAAACTTTAGGTTTTCCTCCCATTCTGTCTTACTGTCTCACTCTCTCTGTCTGCCCCTCTGTTTCCCCTATGGCTCCCCCCACTGGGCCCTATCTAATAAAGCAGAAATGCCAGGGAAATAATCTTCAAAACATTTTAGTCTATATGCGCTCTGTACTCCAGTAGATATCTCAACGCAGCCTTGTGCCATCCCAGTGGACAGATTAGTGCAATTCATTGTCTTCTAGCCATTAGCAGCAGGGAGGGAAAAAGAGAGATTACGATGAGGGGATTATACTGGCACAAAGTCTTCTCCCTCTAATGGCCTAATCTCGTATTCTGCTGACCTCCTGTGACCTCTTCACACGGCTCCCCACAAACCAGCTCAAACAAAGACTCAACAGTGTTTTTTGGCCTTTAGTTCATATTGTTTTGTTTGGGTTTTATTTTTCCACTTGTGTTTTTCTTTGTTTAGCTTCTTTTCATGACTAAATTAATTAAACAGAAGTGCATCATCTTTTATTGCAAATTGCTGTGGACTTCTGAATGGAAGTGTGATTGGTTACAGACAGTACAGTGCTAGTAAATATCTGTTTGTTGGTTTTTCTCTGATTGTGGACCCCATATGTCAGATATAATAGATAAAAAGAAAGCAATGACAGTATTTTGCCTTCTAAATACCTTAATCTCACACACTACTGTCTCAACACTTGTTCTTACTCCATAACTGCAAAATGACTTTTTGGCATCCTTTTTGCACCTCTCTGTTTTTCTTATATGAAGTAACACTTTAGAATGTCATTATTTCAAAGCATTACACCTGGTATACAGTTAATTAGCACAGATTGATGGCATTTATTAGTTTGCAGTGAGCTTCTAAGATGTTGATATTTCTCAATCTTGTCATCACATAACACTTTAGGAACACAAGCCTGAACCTAACATACTGGTTGAGACAGCTGTGGTGAATGGTGAACTTTCATTCAACCAAACCCCTAAAACAGTGAGTGTCAATGTTCCCAAGAGCCATGTTGATGGGATATTCTTAGCCTTATGTTTTTAAAAAATCAACAATCTAAGTTGTCACAACAACATGAAAACTCGGATGTAAGGAAGGAGAAGGGCAATGAAAAGAGACTTCTCCTTTTAAACTTTTATTAAACTTGCATAGCTAGAATATTAAATGTCACATAAAGAAAACCAATCACATTTTTGAAAAGGTCTAATTGCTGGGATCTTACAGTTGACTGTCTTTGGTCTCCCCTCACTTACTCAAAAGGCAATATCTTTAATGATCATTTCTGTTGTGTACGTATTTATTGTGTACGTAGATTTTGTCCATTTATATTCATACATCATTTTTTTAATAAAAAAAACTTTGCCGACATTACATTGATAGTAAAGGAGTGAATTTGGTTTCTCTGATACACTTCACATTGTGACATGGCTACTGTTTAAAACATGTTTCCTGACACTGTCCCGCAGTGTCCTTCTCTTCACCCTGCTTAGCTTTTACTGTGCGCCAACTCGGATCCTTCCTCCCAACGTGTTCTGGACAAACAAAGCCATCACTCCCTGGGCTGTAAATGTATGTTCTCACACACTGGCTTCCAAAATCATAGGTCTGTAGAGAGGAGTCCTTAAATGACTTTCAAGGAAAACAAAATCGGACAAGCACTGTTATGTATAAATTTAGACTAGACCTTGATCAAATATGAAAGCTTTGATTTTGTCAAATGAATGTATTTGTCAATAATTGGTTAACACTGATTGAGAGAACATACAGCTTGTTTTTTTATGTTTATTTATATTACTGTGAGCAAGGTTGTAGCAAGAGATATCCACAAAAGAAAAACAAAGAATGTTTATCCACGGGAGCAGGTATGGAGCATTTTACTCTCAAACAGTAAATTCATGCATCAGGTGTTCATTTGATCAGTATGAATCTGACAGTTGTATTGGTTGGCTGTCTGTGGTCTGTTCATCATCATTTGTTTGTTTTTAGTTGCATTGCTCATGTTATGGATGGTTGGGCAAATCCAAATGGATGTATGGACATACTGTACTGAGGTTCATATCACCACTGGGCACTGAAGATTTGAGATTGAATTTACAATATCATGTTAACAAAAATATAATTTCCAACCAAGAACTTCACTAAACCTTTGCTATGTCATATTTCTTGGTAAATATGGGCTTTTACTGTCCTGAGAGAAGATATTTTATGCATACTACACTGAAACACTCGAGATACAGCTTGACTCAGATCCCATCTGGACTTTTCTTCACATCCATCTTACTCACACATGTACAACAACATCCTTTGACTGGGTTACACATACATGCAGTCATGTCTGTGATGACAAATCCACTGGGGCTATTTTCCCTAAAAGGGCATTTTTTGAAACTGCATTTCCGTCTTTAGTGGGCAGCGTCTTAGTCTTTAACTTTTATCAGCAGCAGGAAGTGTAAACACAATGCCTTCTGGGAAATGCCGTCGGGTCTGCTAATGAAGGGTCATCATTAGTTAGAGGACACACCCTTCCTGGTATTCAGCTGCTGAGCGCATGTCTGTCTCAGTTTCTGTCTCTCTCTTTGCCGTCTCACTTTGTTTCTGTCTGTGTCCCTCTCACTCATTGGTTTCTCACTTCTGCGCTCTCTCTTCCTTGCACTTGGTCCTTCTTTTCTTTCTGTCTCTTTCTTGCTTGTTCTTTCAATCATTTATTTCGTCTTAAATGTCTTCATCTTTCCCTAGTTGAACCTCTCAAGATGAAAACTCAATCACAGTCTTTTTCTGTCCCCTGTCTATCATTCCTCTTTTTTCCTTTTCTCACCTTTTCTTCTTCACCTCTCTTCTTTTTTCATCCCTGTCACTCTCTCCACCTCACCTTAAAAGCAGATATAGCACTTTGTAAGATGGTGCGGAGGATAAACACACCTATATAACCAGTATTTCATTTGCAATCTTACTCCAGTTCCCTGTTGAATCCTTTACTGTTTTACTTTTAAATGAATAGATGGTATACAGACTGATGTATGGAAAGTGCAGGAGTGTTGAGTACGATCAAAAGGATGTAAATAAAGTTTAAATATTTGTTGGTATAGTTGTTCACGCCAGTCTTTTTTATTCATGCCAGTAGTTGTTAGTCTTATTAAGTTTCCTCCAACTGCAAGCGCCATGCATGCAAATCTCCCATTAGGATTAAACAAAGTTATTTATGGTATCATTTATCAAAGGCATCTTTCAGAGGTATGAAGAATAAATAACATCCAGGAATATCTGTAATTACATCTGTACATTGTCCGCAGGCAAGGGAGTGTGTGTACGTGTGAGTGTGACGGGGGAGCAGAGATACAGTTGTCATTCTCCGGGATGTTTTGTGACTGGCAGACAGGTCTGACCTAGTTTCAGTCAACCAAAGGCTAAAGAATAGAAACAAGTCAACAAGACTTCATAATCCTGGCGGTTGCTGAAGGGTCGTTGAAGTTCATGCACAAGTCTGGTTATGCCGTTTCTATGTTTTAATGGCAGAAATACAATTCAGCTTTAGTGTCCATGATGGAATCTGAAAAAAGGATTTGTCTGTCCTTTGTCCATCTGTAATTGTTCCTCTTACACTGTTATACAAAACTTTTTTTAAAATGTCTTAATTTTTTAAATTCTATGTTATAAACATATAACATTCAAATGTGGATGGCATGGTGGTTCAGTGGTTCACATCATCAACTGTCATCTTCTAATCTGAATGCCCACCACGTGGCAATACCCAACACCGCAATAATAAGAACTTAGACATACAGAATCTCTGAATCACTGTCACCATCTACAATCTACAATCAAGAATAAAGTAGGTCTGCGGTTGTGCTCGCTCAAGTCAAATTCTTTTTTGTAGACAGAAATAAAGATTGGAGACGTCATCATCCAATGCCAAAGCCAGAAAAATTGCAAAAAGCCTGAACTGATTGAAGCATCTATAAATGTTGTAGGCTAAGTCTGAAATACAGAAATAACAACTCGTAAATTGACATATTTCTTTGATTGATGTGATAAATGTAACAACTGAGACAGGAAGTGTTGACTGAAAATGATGTTGGCAAGACAGCTACGTCCCTCACTAGTGATGGAACCAAGCAAAATGACAACCCCTCTGTCCATAAGATGATTTTGTTTAAAAGGCTATGCATGAATGCTATGTCAGTTGGTGAGTTTGTCTATCTGGCCATCTGTCTGTTCAACACTTTGGTCCACAGAAAAATATGTCAACAATTGGCCAAGTTGCCATGATGTAGTGTATTTGCTGTGAATTCACTAACCCAGAGAATAATTCTCAAAGATCTTGATGCCCCTCTAAACTTACAGCACCTGTATCAGCAGACTCAAGTCACAATAACCATCTGTACTCAAGACATCTCTGTAGATAAACCTCTTATATATTGAGCCCCTTCATGCTCCCCAGAAGATGAACATTTTCTATTTTAGACGATCTTCAAGTGCCACTCTTCTCAAAATATCAACATTTTTAAGGAGATAACTAATGGCTGGATTTCCATTAGGTTTGTAACTGTAAGGCTATCCATGGTCCCCAGAGGATAAACCCTGTTGACTTTGTTGGCATTTACTTTTCTCCAGCACCACCTTTACATGAAATGTGAATTGTACTTGCACACAAGATAGCCTGCTGCATAATGGAACAGGCTGACTGCCATAACATTTGGTTAGTCCCCAGAGGAAGAACCTTGGTGGACATATGACTTATTCTGTAGAGCCACCCAGTGTTCAAATTTGATCAGTCTTGGCCTGCTACTAGTAAAGCTCTGAGAAAAACAAAGTCATGACTCTGTTGTTCATCCTGTCAAACACATCAGCCTCTACGAGCACTGTAGGGAGTTTCAGCCTCAAAGTTTTGTTACATAAAAATCTGTCTCCACAGTTGAGCTTACTTTAGTCCACTTTTACTACCCTAAAATCATGAGTTTGTTTCTTTGTGTATGTGTGGCACAGGAAGTGATTTCACAGCCTCAAATCCGTGGTGTCTGACTGCTGAACATTGTGGTGTGTGTCTGTTGTTGAGATTAAAACAGGTTTAATCACAGAGCAGCTTCTAACAATCTGTCTGCCAGAAAATCGCACCATGAACCACTACTCCCCAAAAAAACATACACACACACACACACACTGTGTCCTCACTGGCACTGCCATGCCACAGAGTGTATTCATGCTCTGATTGGTGTTCGTGCATTTTCTTGCTAATTCTATTTTCTTTCACAATCAGACGAATCAGATTTTATTAAAGTGAATGATCTCGGCTAGTTTTAAAACTGACAGTAATGACCAACAGTCATCTGAAAGTAATTTAAAGCCCAGCGTGTTATCCACATTGGTTTTGGCTCAGCTGTCAGCCCCGGTCTCAGCTGAAGGCAAAATGTTCAACTGCAGCACCCCCAAATTGTGAAAATGTTAAAGAGGCCCAACTATGAGGGATTAAGTCAGAACATACTGAAAGATCTGAATGTTAAGGTGGTTACATTTCATGCTCATTATTTTTCTTTTGTTAAGCCTCCATCTCACAGCTACAGGTGGTGTTGATTACCTTTTGTTAAAAAAAACTTAAATACAAGTGTGGTATATTCAGTAAAACGCAGAACACAGGTCAGTCACTGAAAATAAAACCCTAACTGGGTCTTTCAGTTGTAATCAGCGACTTCAGCTGAGCTAACATCACCACAGCTGGACAGCTTGTCAACCACTCTGACATATATCTGAATGAATGAATGGCTCTAATCATGAATCTTGTGTGTGTGTATGTGTGTGTGAGCGAGCATGAGTGAGTGTCTGTGTGTGTGTGAGTGTGGGAGGGTGAAGTCTCCCAGATGGCACCCAAAGGATTTTCCCTGATAGTTCCCTCTCCAGGAATTAGACCACTGGGTTTATTTGCATCAGCGGCTTTCGATGTAACAACCAAATCAAATCACCTCTTCAACTCTGGGCCATGGATCCAGATCCACAGAGAAAATCCACCACTACCGAGTAACTATTCTCACATACATGGGAGAGACAAAATAACAGAAACACTCGACCATGTAATGGAATTCAGGACAACTACATCGCCAACTACAACATCAGAAATGATCTGAATAACCTCTTAACAAAATCAACAAAAACCATCTTCACAAAAATAGAAAATGTATAATTATTTATTTTAAGATATTACTTTGTCCACCCTTTCATGTATTAAACCGCTGAGGAATGAGATATTATATACAATGCATACCAGGGAAATTTTCAGCTGACAAAATGACACCACTCAACTGACAACATCTTGCCTACTATGGAAATATTAAATGGTGTCATCAATACTTAACAGCCAAATTAACTTGATAAGAAGTTGACAGTTGCAGAAAAATAATGTATTTTCTCTATGTAGAACTCTTCAGAAAGAACAGCTGAAGAGCTCCTAGTGGATTTAGTCTGCCTTTTATTTTTTTTCCTGCTCTGTCCATAGATCATCCTGTATCGTCTTAATGGTCACAGCCGTCTGTCTTCAAGAATGACATCCAGCCTCTGGGGTGGAGAGAGCACTCAATTACAGCATTCAAATCCACACCGAGCTGTCCAAGATCATTGGCATAACATTATGTGAACAGTGACGGTGGTCAGCCTGTCTTTAAATGGGTTGGAACCATCATTTCAAGTTATTTCGGTACCTTCTTCTAGACAGATTGACCGGTATTCATGAGCGTTTCACCCTGGAGTGATTGGGAAAGCAGCCCGGGGCATTTTCAAAGGATCTGGGTTACATATTCTGGCTATGCTGCTGTACACAGCTTTTCAATCAGAAGGAAATGTAAATTCACGCTCCCGTTAGCTGAACAAGAAAGCTCTGGATATATCTATCCGTACATTTGTAGCACCTACTCACATACTCGGCACTTGTACACACACATAACACACCTGTGCAATACTTCCCTTTCAATTTTCCCAACCCTAAGATAAAAAAAGAAAACTTACCACACAGACAGAATGTCCAAACCAAGTAGAACTGTTGAGACCTCTGGTTCGGTACAAAACGAAGCCCAAATCCTTCAAGGTGCTCTCTTGCTCCCTCTATAACTGGGGTTATAGTTTATTAATGTAGCAGGTTGTGGTAGAAATTAGTCACTGGTGGGTGGTCGTATGCTCAACATGGAGTGAAACCACCTCCTCTCCCTCGCTCTTGCTTCTTTTTTTCTGCTGTTTTCTGATGTTGAAAGAGAGCAGCAGGTGTTGTTGTACAGGCAGTGATTTCTCTCTCGGCTCACCAGGTTTCTCTACAAATCCTTTTCTGGACTGAGGACTCGATAATAATATAAGTCTGTGATCATGAAGTATGGGTTGATGCCCCTTGAATGAGAATGTATGCCAGAGTTGGATTTCCAAAGATAAAATCTCTGAGTTCAACAAAAAAAAAAAAGGAATTTCAGTCCGCAGGTAATCACAGAGATATCACTGTGTTGAGTCTGTAGGTTTTTTCTCGAACAGGTAAACGCACCAGTCGCTCCGGCTCTAAAGTTTTTAACCCAAAAATGTCTTTATCGTTCTTTTTTCCCTGCTGAGGTTGTCAAGGTTTTTCCTCCAGAGACCAACAGGTTTTGAGTCTCTCGTGCTCTTTTTCCTCCTTTCACCTCTGATGTGGTTTCCTCATCCAGTAGCCAAAACCACAGCTGTCTGACCACAGTCCTCTCTCACACAGGTCACTGCCCACTTCCTCTTCCTGTTATTGTGGTCAGTCTTCTTCACTGGTACTACCGCTCCTTTTCCTGTCCTGAAGGGGAAAAAAACAGAGAAATAGAGGTATGGAGAGAGCTGTGGGATTGGTGGAAAGCGCAGTAAAAAGAAAGAGGCAGAGAGGCAGAGAAGGAGCGCATATGTCAAAACAGCTCAAAGACCCTCGGAGAGGCAGAGAAAGCAGCCGGCTCATGTTCATGAAGCAGATGGAGTGAGTGTGTGAGAGACAGGAAGGGAGGGAGGGTGATGGAGAGTAAGGTGAGAGAGGCGTTACTCCTCAGTCCTTCTCAGAGAGAGAGGGAGAGATGGAGAGTGGGGGAGAGATTTATTATTCATGTGTGTGAGATAAGGATTAAGTTAAACAGGTTATTGGGGATAATCCTTAGAGATTTCCCCACATGAGGCTAGTAAATATTTCAGACTTCGGCGGGTGAGTGTGTGTGAGTGTATCTGACAGAGAGATCTTGTCTAAGCTGGTAAATGAGATGAGTCGAACACCCCGCCACACACACACACATCTATGTCGCCTTCCTCCTCTTCTCTTCAGGGGGGGAGTCAGTAATTTGGCGAATTGGACAGGAAAGACGGCTGTGTGTTTTTACATGAAACCTCTCCTGTGGCAACAGCAGTCCTGTCTTTATTTCCGTCCCTCCCTCCCTGTCTTTCTTCTCACTCTCTGTTTGCTTGCTCTCTTGTTATTTGCAGTTTCAGTTCTACTCATACAATATTTTCATTGCAGCTGGGAGTAGTAAGGCCTAACATCAACATGACAAAAATCAACATTTACTTTGAATCCTCTTCCCTTATTGCAGTAGCTGTGTATGTATAGTGACTCACTTTCAGTGGTGTGATTGTAGTAGTTTACGAGTTCTAAGGACAAAAATGTTTGTTTTTAAACTGTTACAAATGGCCTTTACCCAAAAAATTCACAGGACCTTTATCTGATCAGCCACCACATGGTTGAGGAACAGTTTATGTCACTAAAATTAAGCTAACCTAAAGAGTTTTTGACCACTAGTGGCGCTATGGTTCCACGTTTCGAGTCCGAGCACACATCTGTTACTTTCACACTATTCCACTGATCTATGGTTAGCAGTGGTAAGTGCCAAAAAACGTTGCAGAGTAACAACTAAAGCAGCAAAGAAGAAAAATATAATTAAGTAAACATGGATGTAAACAAGGCAGGATTAAAAAAAACTTTGAAAAAAATTGTGAAAAATCGTAGTTGCAAATGTTTTGTGAGGAAGGATGTCAACATGTTTGTGTTAGACCTTAAGAATGCAATTTGCGCTTTGATGAGTGACACTGAAATAATTGTCATTTTTGCCACCTCCATAATGTCATGTTAAGATTGGCATTAACACTAAGGCCCTTTTTAGACCTGGTATTAACATGAGTCTTGGGAGATCTGATCACAAGTGGACAACTCTAAGTACAGGCGTGAAAGCACCTAAGACATCGCTCAGGCCACCTTCGGAAGTGGTCTGGGCTGCGTGTCAGCAGATTCAGTGTGTAACTAATAATAATAGCCCAGGCATTTATTTGCTTAAATAACTGAACTCCCCCTGACTTTACTGGGGACAGGCGTCTATTTGGAACAGGTGTTTAATTCCTTTAGCACAAAACTCTTGTTCAGCACAGATGGAAATACTCTCTAACTGTACTGCTTCTCGTGAGTTTTGTTCAGCAAATTTGACAAACTAACAGCTTGCGTACAGCCATTGAGCAACGGACTTCACATAACAATATTCACAACTCTGATTAATGTTAATGAAACCCTTTGATTCTTTTGATTGGTGGACCGTTACAGACTAAAGGAATTTAAATAATGGAGGAATGGATACAGACCGTATGGCCTTTTGTTTCTGTCTCTTTTGTTTACAGTGCCGGTAAGTCTGAATGAATTAGACATTGGTGTTCATAGTTTCCGTAAAATGAACTGAACAATTGAACTGTGGGGATCTAACTGATCTAAGGATGTGCAGCATCCATACTGACAGAAGTTTAAACATTTATATTATATATAGGTTTTACACATCCAGATAATTTCTATAAAAGCCAGACCAGGCCTCTATTGGAGACCTGTGTTTATTTGTCACATCGTGTAGCAAAAAGTAAAGTAACGAATAGTCAAATCTTTGTATTGAACAGCCAAAAGAACAGTAATAACGGACATTGCCAAAATACTGAGTAGGGTACGGCCCTGTAATGTTTATTTGCATATTGAGCTTTCCACAACACAGTGTGACACACTATGCTGGCCAACCAAATGCTAGCGCATTCATGGTAGATTATTTTGACATCTTAAAACTCATAGATCTATTAGTCTCGTTCTACATTAAGTGGCACAATGCCATTAATGCAGTCCTGTGCAAATGTATTGAACACCCGCTAAGAGGTCCTGTGGTATTATCATCCTACTTCTGCCTTCATGTTTGAAGGACTCTTTCACTTGTCTTCTCAGCTGCTCTCTCTGTTATTTCCCTCCTTTTTTTTGTTTCCCTGGTGAGCTACATTTTCAAGTGCCATCTTATTTTTGACAGAAAAATATCATCTAACGTCAGGGAAAATCTTTCACTCTTTCTCTGTTTGAATATGTCTGTGCTGTGTGCATATACGTGTGTGGGGGGAGGGGGGTATCTGTCATTTTAGACAGATAAGAGACTAGTGACTTTGATAAAAGTTGAACACCAGAGAGAAAGAAAAAGCCTGAAGGACAGTGACTGAAAATTAATTTTTTAAATCTATCACCCAACTTAATTCTATTCAGTCTTTACTGTATATGTATATATGGAATTAGCCATAATTAATACTCTGTAGTTCATGTAGGCTATCTGTATTTATAATAGCTGTTTTTGAAAATCACCCTTAAACTGAGTTAAATTTCATACAATTGACTTGGGCAGAGACAATGATTTATCTATGTATGTAGACAAAAGGAACAAGAGAGAAAATAACAAAGAGACAGTTTGTCCTCATGTCGGCTGTCTGTTCTTATTCATACAATGTGGAGACGTGTACAGGAGTGATGGTTGTCCCGCAAACAAACAAAACGTCACAAATATGATGGAAACTCTCTTGTTTACACATCTCATTTCCTCTACCCCTCTGCGTATGTCTGTCATTCCATATTTTTAAAAATACTCGTGCTCTTGGCCTACTTTCCTAAAAAACACTTTGGCACTAAAAATTGCATCCTCGCTCCACTCATGACATGTAAGGAAACGGGTGATATTCCCCCACTGGTGGTTTGACTGGAAGAATACCACTGGGAGCTGAACATCAAGTACTGGAGGACTGAGAGAGAGACAGACAGAGAAAAAAAGAGGCAAATGTCTAACATGACAGATCGTCTTTAACAGTGCTGTTCCTGCCTAAAGGGCCTGCTTTTATCATTAACACTTACAATGCTTTTGCCAAAAGCAACATGTACCTAAATCACCACTGCAAACACTGCCACAAAGGTGGGTTATATTTTTTTCATGGCCATGGCTGTTCCCTGCATCTTGCATTGTGTTTTCTGTTGTTTTCCCCTGATATTTCCTCGCGTCCTCCAGAGGGTTGTGGAGGAGCTGAGACACCGGTGGATCCTATGAGGAAGTCTTTTATCAAGGTATGATTGAAAACCTAATTTAAAAACAAAATTCGATCATTCTTAAATCACACAGTTTATTCTCACAGCTTTTACTCTGTAGTGTCTGTATGGGGATCTACACAAAATAATCAAATACAGTTACATGGTGAGATGCAATATTATGTGCCGTCATGTTTTGTGATAAATAACAATTTACTGGATCGTTTAACCATAAAGTGCTGTGGCCTCATACAAGTTTGTTTATTTTACACAACAGTCGACATACACACATTCTTACGCAGCTCTGTTGTGTATCATTGTGCAGATAACAATAATGCAAGTAAATAGGCTACATAACCAAAGTCATCGTAACAAATACCACTGCACTACATTCGCGTAAAATTAGTTTGACTTGGATGGAACGCCTGTTGGATCATGGTCTTACCCTTTGTTAATGATTTCTTGTGATCATCATTCACTCAGATATTTCCCCAAGACTGGTCGGATGCTTCAACTCGATGTGTCCTTTCAAATTTGTTGCCAATGTGGCTGATGTTCAGACTTGTTTTTTCAGACTCGTTGGACACATTTAGCATAAAAATGTGAGATTTGTTTCATTTGAAATCTATACTGATTTGTTTATAAATCTCCTTGAGATATTCATATGAACTGATTTCAGCAGTACCGGTAGCATGGAAGATGATGACATTCACGTTCATGTTCATTAGTTGCAAACGGATACATTCCAGTGTGTTCATGCACAGTACTGACTGCAGATACATGCATAGACTCTGAAGCATATTCTCAAAGTGGACTGGTTTGAAGTGCAATGTGCAGCGTTATGTTTTGTCCTTTCCCCTTTTCATCATACCATGCTAACTCCATGCTAACTTTTGTTGCAACAATTACCATTCCACACATTGTTATCTGCAAGCACCTGGTAGCACATACTTTTGTAATCAAAAGAGCAACAGACTGCAGTTGTGAAATCCAGTGCATTGGTATTGTGGGTAATTATCGCATACAGCTTTAAAAGACCACATCACAGTTTTACTGTATCTCAATCAATTTCCCATAGACTAATCAAAGATTATACACCATTACGTTTATTAGCTGTTGTAAAATAATTCTCCCTCCCACAATCCTTTATCTGTTGAGTCATAGCATGAGGAATAGCAACAAAGTGCAGTTTTCCTGGTTTTAAAATCTTACTTTAGCTCCCCTTTTTTAAAACCTCAGTCTTATCTGGTAAAGAGAATGATTACAGGTCTTGGGGCTGAAATGAATCTTTCTTGCTGCGGTTTGGCTGGTGCTTGCATCATCAGGTGTAGGATTTTGGGTGGTGAACAGACACTGCCTACGAGATACAGAGAGTATTGACAAGTGCAGTGGAGTATAAAGACATGTCATAATATGACAAAAGCATGGCGACAATGTTAAAAACCTGTGAAGTGGTTCCTTAAACGATGTGAAGAGGCACCAAAGTCCTTTATGAGTCCTTGGTAAATCATTTGATCCCAAGCACCAAGCTAACATGTACTGTATGAAAGGGAACATGAACTTGAACACACAAATGAAACCCCAAATAAAGTTCTCAGAAGGGGACTAAATTTAGAATATCAAGATAGATAAAGATA